TCGCACGACAAAAAAAAAAAAAGGAACGTCTGACGTCATCAGCCACCCGTGAAATTTGGCGATGCTGCTGGCATTAGCCACCGAAAGGAACCCTGTATGAAACTTCTAGCGACGCTGCTGACGTCAGCCACAATTCACGCGTCAAAAAACAATCCGACACTGCGTACAAAACAAAAACGAAACTCATCAACTCGAAATTCCCATAAAAACAGAAACATCGCATGAATTATCTTAAGCAAAAAATCTCAAAGTAATACAACTCTTTTAAAAAAATCAACGCATGTTACGAGTGTTGCTTCGCAACCCTAAGACCATTTCGTCGCCTCGTTTTTTTTTTTTTTTTTTTTTTTTTTGAGGTGAAAGTGCACTATATAATGACATTATACAATGCGAAACACCACGGTCGTAACCGATTCGGGAGGGGTTAGGTCAATGTACTGGCCCCTTAGGGCTTGGGTACACTGTACCGTACCCTCGTAACCTATTATGGGGGTTTAAACACAAGGCGGCTGAAAATCTCATCTTGCCCTATTGGGCTTGGTGTACCATTGGTTGGCTTGAGCTGTTGCACACTCCCTTGAGTTGCACTGCTCTGACTTTGGGAGAGGAGGGTTGGAGTGTCTGCTGCCTCTGTTCCGGATTCTTCTCTTGAGATAAATGTTACTTCAGATTCATGGCGGCTGGTTGCTGAAAGGCATTCGTCTCTATCCTCCAATTGAAGGTATACTTCTTGAAACGTAGGAAGCTTCCCATCGTCGTCATCTTTTTCCTCAGTTAAAAACCAACTGCCGTCTTCAAAAATTCCAGCGATGAAAAGGTCGTAGTAGTCTTCAGATTCATGAGCTATGTTAGACTGAAATGTGACTTCTCGACCCGTAGGCGACTTAAATCCTGTTTTCTTCAAATCTGTTTCTGATTCGCGTCGTTGTAGTTTCTCGTCTCTTGCAAACAGTCGACTCGTTGGTGAAACCCCTATATTTGCCTTCTTGTCGTCCAGGTAGAAACCACTGGAATTTTGTGACTTGGAACGAGCCTTGTGAAGCGGCTCATGCATTAGTTGCCGTTGAACCGCAGAGAAGGAAGATAACCTGAAAGTATTTTGCCAAGTAATCTCCTTGTACTTCCGAGAGTCGGCTTCCATTGCCTTTTTGTCGTCCAGGTAAGAAACATCTTGAACTTTTGAAGTTTCAGAAGCCATTCTTAAAAAAGGTATCTCTTGAAATACCCCTGTCGTATCTCCTTGTGACTTGAGGCGATCTGTAATGCTTGCTCGATGAACCTTGTGAAGTTTCTCATCAACTTTTGCTTGCCGTTGAAGTTCTGAAAAGGATGATAGCCTGAAAATATTTCGCCGAGTAATCTCCTTATACTTGAACTTCCAACTTCGCGTTGCACCTGTTTTTAATCTACATCCTGGACGTCGCGCTGCAACCGACGTGACTCTCTTGGAACAGGCAGAGCAATGACATGAAAGTGAGCAGCTCGTTGACTGGTATGAAGGATCTTGCTTGAGTAGTAACGACGACCAGATGTTCTCGGTGTGAACATAATTTTGGTGTCGATAAGAAGCTCTCAAAGCGTAGACCCCGAAAATGGTTCTAGAACCTGAGACTGACACTGTTAGCTTAGACATTGTTCTGCTCGAATGAAGAGCCATGGCGGAGAGATCGGCTTTGAACATGATGGTGGGCATTGGTTTAGCGAGTGCACTTCAAGAGACTGATAACTCGTATTTTACTCATTCATGAGTTGGTTGGACCGATCAGTACCCTTGCTGGCCTACCAAAATCACATCGTCGCAGGTCTCCATCAGGGAGAGCGCCAAGAGCAGATGGGGTAGAGAACTTCGGCCACATCACAGGGACATTCTGCGTTTCGGTAAAGGAACGAGGAATATAACCACGTCATATCGCATCCGAGCGCTGAAGAAACATTCCAACCGTCCTGAAACCCTGTTATGCTCTATCGACAAAGTCAATGGTTGTCCGAGAAGGACCCCCATCCCCATTATCACCTGGAATGTGAGAGAACCATACATGTGCCTGTAACGACTGCGACGCGAGTTCAACCCAGGGCAGATTGAACTCTGCCACGCGATTCGTCCCTGTTGGCAGCGAAATTCCACCGTCATTGTGGCGTACAAAACCACAACCCACATAAGGTCACTGACTTCTCGAAATTGCTACAACACTACACCCACATAGAATTCCTTACATCGTCAACGTAGATAAATGTAATTTCGACTCTACATGCTACCATCCCACATATTTCATGAGACAGTCCAAATTGCAGATAGAGCTAGGAATTTTGCTTCCTAAATTGCATTCTAAACTAGACGCGTAACAAATTGGAAGCCATATCCGTATGGCCTCCTTGTGCAAAAAACGGTGTCAAGTCCTGTCCCACCAGGAATCACGAAATAGGACAATTTGAAGTTGCGAAAAAAACAAAAACACAGGCGTCCTCGCCGGAGTGGCCCATACAGGTTTCGAACCTGTGACCATCGCGTTATTAGCACGACGCTCTAACCAACTGAGCTAATGGGCCGATGTGTAGCTACATAGAGAGAAGTCATTAGACGTTAAAACAAAACATTTTTCAGAGCCTTCTTATGGTTGGTGGAATCACAGTTATTGCATGGCACCAGCGCGAGTGCTACCTCTTCCCACAGCCATAGTCGTCCGCGATGCGCGCTCCGACGCTGTACTCGCGCAGTTCCTAGGCGGCAAGCCGGCCGGCGAGGTATGCGACGCGTTGGAGCGACTCACGGGGTCGCCGGGCTGTCTCGTGCTCGGGGACAAGGCGTCCCAGGGCGCACCGCTCGTGCTGACTGAATCGGATGTGATACAATCGGGGACGTACCACTGGCGAGGTGCGTGTCGCTGACCGTACCGAATCTCGCTGGTGTTTCTGAGCTGCTGCTAGCCTGTAGTCTAGTCTTACCGTCGTTCGACCCGCTTCAACAGTGGGACCGTCGGCCGTAGCCTAAAGATACGGTGTCGTTATATAGCGTCGATCAGATACAGTTAAGAATACGGTGACTCGGCGTTGTTCTAACTGGTGGCTGATGTGGCCGAAACGATACGCGTGTTCTTGCTGAGCTGTCGAACATACGAAATCGGTTAACTTGCGCAGACGAGACGCACCAGACGAGACTGATATCTCCGTGACCCCTCTCCCTTGCTCTAATCCGATGCATAATCTTCTTCCACCTTCCCTTCCCACCCTCCCGTCCTCTCCCCACACCGCACCCCTCACCATCCCACCCCCCTTCCCGACTTCCCCCTTCCCCCAACTTCCCCCTTTCTGACTTCCCCCCTCCCCCGACTTCCCTCCTCCCCCGCCTTCCCCGTTCCCCCGCCTTCCCCCGTCCCCCGCATGCGCAGTGGCTGTAACGAGGTCTTCCTCTCACCCCACCACCCAGCCGGCACAACCCCCATACAATCACACCCGCCACCATCACCATGATTGGTCCAGTCAACTCGCGGCGTCTGCACTCGCTATACTCATCCTCGGTTCAGGCATCCAACTGCTCATCATGCTCGCAGCCCTCCCCTTCTGCGGCTACCGTTGGTCCTGCGCCTTTTCCCACTACCGCTCTTTCATCTCCTTTATAGACGGACCCTTTAAGGTGTTTGCGTTCGTCGCGGCCGTCCAAGCGGCCGGCAGAAACCCCGGCCGGTGGCTGTGGTTCGTGAAACACCTTCGTTTTAATCACGTCCGTTTCAATCCGTTTGAAGGATGGTTTTCCCGGCTGCGGATTCTGGGAAAGTTGGGTTTGGGAACAGCGGGAGGACAGGTGTATCGAGGTGAAATAGGGTTTGGAGGAGAAACAGGGCTCGGAGGGAAGGGAGGCAGAGAGGAGAGAAGGGAGGAGAGGAGGGATTCAGGAAGGAAGGGGAGAGGAGGACGGGGAGGTAGGGGAGCGAGGAAGAGCAGCTCATGTCAGGGAAAGCAAGGAGAGACAGGTGTGGGATCCGGATTGGAGTCAGACAACAGGCTGGTGCGAGGCTCGTTGACAGGCTCAGAGACAGGCTTGGGTAAAGGTTCGGGGGAGAAAGGGTTGGTAACTGGACCAGGGGTAGCGGCAGAAAGGGGTCTGGGAAAAGCAGGATCGGCGTTTTCGTCTTCTCCTCGGGAATCGGTCAACTCTCATGACTTGCTTCCCGTGGCTTCATATGGCGCTGATGGTTCACCCTGCCCAATGCCCTTATCCTCCGCTGCTTTCTCCAGTACTACCGGTATCGGTGCTTCCCCCCCGCCTGCTTTCTCTTCTAGAGGAAGGCTCCCTGGGAGTCACTCTCTATTCTCGTCTATGTTGTCGGCGGACGGTATGAGGAGGTCACTCTCTGATGGCGGCGGCAGTGGTGACGTGAGCAAGCGAAAAGAAGACTGATCTGTCATTTGAGGCGCCTCAAAATTCGCCTGCTTTCTCTTCTAGAGGAAGGCCCCCTGGGAGATTCTCGTCCTTGTTGTCGGCGGACGGTATGAGGTGGTCAATCTCTGATGGTGGCGGCAGTGGTGACGTGAGCAAGAGAAAAGAAGACTGATCCGGACCGGACTGCCTTTTTCTTCACCCTGTGCACAATTGATTGCATTAACACTTGATAATTGCCATACTGTACTGATATTTTATTGTATTATTATCTCACTTCACGATGCGGTTAAACATCTGCGGTACATTTTTCTGGAACAAAACTAAGGAACTAGAGCTTGGAACATCCCAAAACCAAAAAACAGTTACTGCCCAGCTTCTTTACACTGTTGTGGCTGCTATGCTGTTGACTGCCAGTTCTGCTCTCAGATACTAACACTGTTGACCTGCTGACCCTGTTGACCCTGCTGACCCTGCTGACCTTGCTGACTCCCTCACCATGAGCAGCAGCAGCAGCCATGGCATGTGTATCTGCTATCTCCGCTCTTTGCTATCCACTCTTCGTAAGCCACCATCCCTAGAAGCAGCAGCAGCAGAAACAGCAGCGAAAGCAGCAGCTTCAGCATCAGCAACAGCCATGGCTTGGGTGGCTGCTGCCCTCCACTCTGCCTGGCGCTGTGCCTCTGATGAGGGCAGGCCCAGCTGGGTGGGGAGGAAAGGGGACAAGAAGCGAAGGAGTGAAAGGGAGTGGAAAAGAGTGGAATGAGAGGGCTAAGGATGCCATGGCTTGGGTGGCTGCTGCCCTCCACTCCGCCTGCCGCTGTGCCTCTGATGAGGGCAGGCCCAGCTGTGAGAGAAGGAGGGGGTCCATGAGGGATGAAGAGAGGGAGGGAGTGGAATGGAGTGGAGCAGAGTAAAAAGGAGTGAAACGGATGCAATGGCTTGGGTGGCTGCTGCCCTCCACTCTGCCTGGCGCTGTGCCTCGGATGAGGGCAGGCCCAGCTGGGATGGGCGAGAGGGGAAGGGAATGGGAAGAGAAGAACGGTGGAAAAGGATGAAGATGGGTGAAGGGAGCGAAAGAGCAGCCGTGGCTTGGGTGGCTGCTGCCCTCCACTCCGCCTGCCGCTGTGCCTCTGAGGAGGGCAGACCCAGCTGTGTGGGGGGAGGGGGCCAGGAGGGAAGTGAAAAGTGGGAAGAAGTGGAACCAATTGGAGAGGAGAGCAACGGAGTGGAAAGGGAAGTGGTCTCAAAAGACGTCCCAGATGACTTTTCACAAGATATATAAAAAAACGCCTAAAAAACGGAAGGTACTAAGAGCAGGCATGGCAACTTACCGCAGCGCGGAAGGCATCCATCCTTGCAGTTTCCTTTGCCTCCAGCTTCGCCAGCTTGTTGCCCGCATGCACTGTGCGCTCCAGTTTCTGATGATTGGGAGGGGTGGGGAAAGGTTGAGAGGAGTTGAGTACAATGTGCCTCCGGCTTCGCCAGCTTGTTGCCCGCATGCACTGTGCGCTCCAGTTTCTGATGGTTGGGAGGGGTGGGGAAAGGTTGAGAGGAGTTGAGTACAATGTGCCTCCAGCTTCGCCAGCTTGTTGCCCGCATACACTGTGCGCTCCAGTTTCTGATGGACTGAGAGCGGTTGAGTGCGGTTGAGAGGGGTCGAGAGGGGTTGAGAGGAGTTGAAGGGGCTTGCGTAGAGTGTGTCGGCAAAGCAAATCAAAGAAAAGCTAAGCACGCCAAAGGTGGGTACATGACGGGTACTGCGTTAAACGAGTATACTGCCTGAAACGAGTATACTTGAACACCAAAAGAAAGATAGGCAGACCATGTGGGGTGGTGTCTGAGAGCAGTGCGATCATAAAGGAGGGACAGCACTCACTTTCTTTTCTATGCGAAGCTTCTTCTGCTCCCTGCAAGAGAAAGCAACCGGCAGGCAAGATCATAACAGTGAGTGGCGTGAAAGAGAGTGTGGGGAAAGGTCGTGGGCGGAAAATAACGGAGGTGAAGGGACTGAGACGGCAGGAAACGGACATCACAGCAGTTACAAAAGAAACATGAAGATCAGGGGACATATTAAATTGTGGAAGGAGGTGAGTGGAGAAGAGAAAGAGACGAGGGATAGGAGGAGGGAAAGGAAGAGTGAGAGGAGGCGGGAAAGGAGGAGGAAGAGGAGGGAAAGGAGGAGGGAGAGGAGGGAAAGGAGGAGGGAGAGGAGGAGGGAGACATGAGGAGGGAGTCAGGAGGGAGAGATTCGGACCGATGAACTATGAATAATTGTTTAGTTGTTAAACCGATGAACGAAACACACCTCCAGTCAACGGAAGCACGAAACACACCTCCAGTCAACAGAGCCAAAGAAGCGTTGCATGTTGGACTGCTCGTCCTGTGCCTTCCTCCATTCCCCTGACCGCAATTGCTCCTGGTGGGAGGCGCGACGGGAGAGAGAGAGGGAAGCATAGATAAGCAAGAGTTCAAACATGTACACACACAGCTGCATGTTGGCCTGCTCGTCCTGTGCCTTCCTCCACTCGCCTGACCGCAGTTGCTCCTGGTGGTATGAGCGGTGTGAGAGAGAGGGGGGAAGCATAGAGAAGCACTGAAGCTCAAACATGTACGCAGCTGCATGTTGGACTGCTCGTCCTGTGCCGTCCTCCACTCGCCTGACCGCAGTTGCTCCTGATATCAGGGTACAGAGGGGGGTGCGGGATGGGATAGGAGTGGGGGAGAGAGAGTCACGGACGGGGGAAGCGTATAGAAGGACTTGAACACCATTTTGTACGCAGCTGCATGTTGGCCTGCAGTCAACAGAGCCAAAGAAGTGTTGCATGTTGGCCTGCAGTCAACAGAGCCAAAGAAGTGTTGCATGTTGGCCTGCAGTCAACAGAGCCAAAGAAGTGTTGCATGTTGGCCTGCAGTCAACAGAGCCAAAGAAGTGTTGCATGTTGGCCTGCAGTCAACAGAGCCAAAGAAGTGTTGCATGTTGGCCTGCAGTCAACAGAGCCAAAGAAGTGTTGCATGTTGGCCTGCAGTCAACAGAGCCAAAGAAGTGTTGCATGTTGGCCTGCTCGCCCTGTGCCTTCCTCCACTCGCCTGACCGCAATTGCTCCTGGTGGGATGAGCGGAGAGGGAGAGAGGGGGGAAGCATAGAGAAGCACTGAAACTCGAATATGTACACACACAGCTGCATGTTGGCCTGCTCGCCCTGTGCCTTCCTCCACTCGCCTGACCGCAATTGCTCCGGAAATTAGGGCTCGTGGAGAGAGATTCCGACCGAGGTTGGCGAGTGGAAAGGCATTGCTGTGAAACTTTTGCTGTTTGAGCGGACTGGAATCGCGTACAGCAGACGTGTGCCATATGCGTATTTTTTCCAATCTTGTTGAGTGCAGAAACAGCAAAGGGGGATGGTGGTTGGTACCTTTGCATGCTTTGCCCGTTGCCGAAGCACCTCCTTCTGCTCCACCTGCTCCACCATGCGCGACTGGAGACATGCACATGGGGAGATGATACAAAGAAGTAAACAGCAAGACGATCCAGCACGACGATGGAACCGACAAGAAATAACAAATTAACGAAACGAATGGATGGAGGGAGAAGGCTTTGTATAGGAGAAAGGCGGGGTTAGGTTTTGGGGAATAAGGGGGGAGTGGGGGAGTTGGAAGGGGAAGCGGGGAAAGGGGGTTCGTGGGGAGGGGAGATCAGGTGGAGCGAGGAGGGAAGAGTAGGAGGTTTGGAAGCAAAGAGAGAATCTGACATGCAGGTAAAAAAAAAGGGAGCGGGGATGGAGCAAAGAGAGAATCTGACATGCATGTCATTGAATGACTTCTTCAGGTCGTTGCGCCCATCATCGTCCGCCCCTGCTGCTCCATTTGCTCCGTTCGCCAGCATCACATTCCCAGGCAGCACTGCGCTTCCAGGCAGCTTCCCTCCTACCCCTCCTTGGCTCTCCTCGTTCCCCGTTTCCTTTCTGCTGCCTTCGCGCTTTTTCCTCTTTTTGTGCCGGTCTTTCTTTCTGTCTTTTCTCCTCTTCCTCCGCTCTTCCTTCCTCCCTTTCTCTGACTTTTTCCTCCTGCCTTTTCGGCTCCTCTTTTTCGTCTGCATTTTCCGCCTACCCCCCCTGCTATCCTCGCTATCACTTGCTTCACTACTATCACTACCGCTAACATTGTCACTGCTCTCGCTATTATCATCACTACCACTACTGCTGCTGCTGCTGCTGCTTCTGATGTCACTGCCACTCCTCCCTTCGTCACTGCTCTCATCATCTGATGCGTTGGTATCATTCCCTCCCTCCCTCTTCCTCTTCTTCCTCCTCCCCCTTGATTTCTTAGAGCTCCTACCGCCGCTTACCTTCCCTTTTGCATTCTTTCGCCTGTTGTGGTAGCACAAGCAAGAAAAAACAAAAACAAAAATATGAATTACGAAAACACGAGACAAAAGGGTGCGACACTTGCTATTTCTTAAATGGATAGAAAGGAAGGTTTGGAGGCTGGAGAAAACAAGCAACCGGAACTCCTGTCAGAAAATTCCAGGACGAGTAGGTGTTCAGAGAAAAACAAGAATATTGCCAGAAAGGGTAAATTGGAGGCTTTTAAAAAAACACCCTATAAAAGCTGTGGGTGTTTAGAAGAATGCAAGAACAATGCCAGAAGGGAAGACTCATGAGAAAATGGGACTTGAATAAATTCAAAGATGTACGCTATGATGCAGGAACAGCGTAAGAAGAAATATAACTATTGAGAAACATGCGCGACAAGACAATTCCTTACCGCTTCTTTCCTCTCTCCACCTCATGACCCTTCCCCTCATCGTCGCTGTCGCCACTGCTGCTGCCGCTGCTGCTGCTTCTTTCACCAGACAAGCTTCGTTTCCTTCTTGCACTCCCCTTAACATCTCGCCTCCTGCTCTTGCCGTTTAAGCTTCTCCGCGAATCGCGGCCATCCAAGTCGCTGCCGCTAGCACTCCTGCTCCTACTTCGTCTTTTCCTACGCCGAATATTACGCTCCGCGTCATTCCTCGTACTCCCGCCATTCCTACCCTTCTTTCTCGTCTCCCAGTCACCGCCCCTGCTGCTATCGCTTCCGCTGCCACTACCTCTGTCACTCCCGCTCTCTCCAATCTCACCGCTTCTTCTCACTCGCTTCGCCCTGCGTTCTTGTCGCTCCCGTCTTCTACCCCCCTCGCCTTCCCCTTCCTCATCTGACCTCCCCTCCCCCTGAATCCGCACCTCCCTTTCCGCACCCTTCATTCAAAACCATTGACAATAAGAAACCAGTGGTCTAATAATACGAAAAGTGAGCGGGTGTGTCGAATCGGAACTAAGGAAGCAACCGAGGTTATGCCTTGGCAGGGACCACCATGCTCAGAAAAATGTTCCTTCGAAAATAAAGGTGTATGCGGGTGCTGCTCACTGCTCACTCTGTCGTGCGTATTGGCCTTCGGGATTGCACTCAGCTGGATTCCATAAACCGAACCTCTTTTGCGTGGTACCGCATAGGAAACGTGAGAAAACGAACTCAACCGAATTACCGAACTTTGCATCAGCCTCACAATCGCATAGTACAGTAAAGTTTTCCATCTGATAAAAAGAGTCAACACCATGCAAAATATACTAAATTAGTCATGAGATTTTGACTTCACATGATCAGACCAAACACAGTGAGTGGATGGACGGATGCCAGAAGCTTAACCAGGGCAATAATACATATACTTTAACCCTTGCAGTCAACGTATGAGTGTTGGTGGTGAGGCACGTTTGCCCGAGTCAGGCAGTTTCAGAGCAGAATCGGAGGAGGAAGGCAAGGAGATCACATCACAAGAATGCGCAGCACTTATTGCATTGCACTGGAACTCGCACTCTCTCACCCATCATGCGGAAAAAGAAACACATCACTGAATCATGCCAGTCAACGGCTGGTGGTGAGTCGACACATAGAGCCGGGCCCTGCCAGCCAGCCAGCCAGTTAGCTACACCTGGAGCACCACCGCTCCATTGCCGCCAATTCTCAACTCGACAGAAGCTCAGGCCCCCAGGTTAATCACTGTGCTTTCAGGGTCATGACACATGTAGCCCAATCCCCTCGTGGCAGCAACCACGCCGTGTGAGTTGCGACTGTTCAGGCTCTTGGCTGGGACCCTATTTGCTTAGGAACTCCCCTCCTCACGAATCGTTTTGTGAACCATCTGCATCCCTGACCGCAACTCATCCCAAGCCCCCCACGCATACCGACCAGAAACCCCACTACCCCATCTATCCCCTCTACAATCCATCAAGTTATCCAACACGTTGCTCGAGTCTCCCACTGCTGAACGTTCACCTGCACGCAACTGCTCTAAATGTATGCCTCCTCCTCTTGGGGCACCTCTCTGCACTTCCTCTGCCCGCCCTCCATCCGGCACGCCTTCACCGCCTTGCCCGGCTGCCTCTCCACTCGCACATGCGCCCCGGCATGGTGTTCGCGCAGAAATTCTCCCCCAGCTTCATTAGGTGTATGCCTCCTCCTCTGGATACCTCCTACACTTCCTCTGCCCGCCCTCCATCCGGCCTCTCCACCTCGCACATGCACCCCGGCATCGGGTTCGCGTAGAAGTTCTCCTCCAGCTTTGGGTTCTCCCCGGCCTCTCGCTGGTGCGGCCCCCCCACGCGCCCCTTGTGCTGCTTCCTTATCTCCTTGCGCACCGCGTTCCAGCTCATCTCGCCCACCTTGAACTGGTCTAGTAGCCGCACCACCGCCTCTCTGGTAGGTGGGATAGGGGGGGTGGAAATAAGATTCAAGGGGGTTCAAATAGAAATTCTCCTCCAACTTCGGGTTCTCCCCGGCCTCTCGCTGGTGCGGCCCCCCCACGCGCCCCTTGTGCTGCTTCCGAATTTCCTTGCGCACCGCGTTCCAGCTCATCTCGCCCACCTTGAATTGGTCCAGCAACCGAACCACCGCCTCCCTGGTAAGTGGGATATGGGGGGTGGAAATAAGATTCAAGGGGGTTCAAATAGAAATTCTCCTCCAGCTTTGGGTTCTCCCCGGCCTCCCGCTGGTGCGGGCCCCCCACGCGCCCCTTATGCTGCTTCCGGATCTCCTTGCGCACCGCGTTCCAGCTCATCTCGCCCGCCTTGAACTGGTCTAACAACCTCACCACCGCCTCCCTGATTGGCGGGGGGATACGGGGGAAAGAAGCATCACAAGGGGATTGAACTGGTCTGTCCAATGGTGAGGGCCCCCCACGCGCCCCTTGTGCTGCTTCCGGATCTCCTTGCGCACCGCGTTCCAGCTCATCTCGCCCGCCTTGAACTGGTCTAACAACCTCACCACCGCCTCCCTGATTGGCGGGGGGATACGGGGGAAAGAAGCATCACAAGGGGATTGAACTGGTCTGTCCAATGGTGAGGGCTCCCCCACGCGCCCCTTGTGCTGCTTCCGGATCTCCTTGCGCACCGCGTTCCAGCTCATCTCGCCTGCCCTGAATTGGTCCAGCAGCCGCACCACCGCCTCTCTGAAATGGAGGAATTGCATGGGGGACGGAATGCGAGCGGGTATGGGATTAGCCACTGGGGGGAGCATTGTGAGTTGGTGGTTATGCACTGCGTTCCAGCTCATCTCGCCTGCTCTGAACTGGTCTAGGAGCCGCACCACAACCTCCCTGGTTAGGGGGATTACCGTACACGGAGGGTGGGAAGAAACGATTTGAAGGGGTTGGAGAAAGCATCAGGGGCTGGTGCTTGCACACCACGTTCCAGCTCATCTTGCCTGCTTTGAACTGGTCCAGCAGCCGCACCACCGCCTCTCTGAAATGGAGGGATTGCATGGGGGACGGAATTCGGGAGGGTATGGGATCAGCCACGGAATTCGCAAATGCACGCATGGCACGCACCACCAACCGCAGTCGTCGTGAGGTGTCGTTTTCAGTCGGCGACCGTGTTCTTTTGGATAGCCGCAACCTCCGACTGCCACAGGACAGCAAGCTCCGCCCACGCTTCATTGGTCCATTTGTCATTGAGCGCGCACTTGGTCCAGTCGCATACCGCCTTCGCCTTCCCGCTCATTTCCGCATGCACCCGTCATTCCACGTGTCTCTTCTTCGGCCTTACACCGATCCTAACACCGCATTCTCGGGCCGTGATCGCAATCCACTGCCGGTAGCTGTTGACACCGACGAGCCCGACTACCAGATCCAGCGCATCCTCAGGCACCGACGCCGTCTCCAGGGGGGTGTCTCCTTCATCGACTTCTTGGTTCGTTGGCGTGGTTACGACGCAGCAGACGACAGCTGGGTTCCTTCGTCCTCACTGTCTCATGACAACGCTTACCTCCAAGCGTACCTTCAGTCTGCAGGCGCCGCGGACGTCGCCTCCTTGGGAGGGGGGTAGTGTTACAGGGGGTTTTACTGTTCATCCAGAACAGTACTTCCCAACCTTATCATCATCCTATCTTTCCAGATTTCCTAGTGCCACGTGGCACTCTAATCTTCTTGCCTTACAATTCTAGTCCCACGAAGTACTTTCCGACATTCGACTTTGCATGCTATATCAATCTTGCTTGTATTCCCCAATATCAATCAATTCTCATTCAACTCTTCAATTACTCAGTTACCTCTTCGCCTATTTCGCCAACACTCTCTTTCGCCAAAGTCTTCCGCTGCGCTTATCCTCAATTTAGTCAACCCCGCTATTCCTTAGCGGATTTAGGCCAAGGGGCCTAACAATCTAATAAACAGATTCAACACCATGCAGAACATACTCAATCAATTAATCATGAGATTTTGATTTCAGATGACAGAACCAAACACAGTGAGTGGATGGATGGATGCTAGCAAATCTTAGGTTGGGCGATGGCCACACCACATGGGCATCGAATACGTTTCAACCAGTGATGCAAGGAGCTGCTAAATGGAGAAGGCTGGGCTGGCCCTTTCACATATACTTGAGCCCTTGCAGTCAACACAGGAGTGTTGGTGGTGGTGATGCACATTTGCCCAAGTCAGGTAGTTTCAGAGCAAAATCGGAGGAAGGCAAGGAGGCCACAACAATGCGTTGCCTTTATTTCGTTGCACTGTAACTCGCACTCTCTCTCACCCATCATGCGAAAAGAGGAACACATCTATTGAATCGACACATAAGCCAGCCCCTGCCAGCCAGCCAGCCAGCCAGCCAGCCAGTTAGCTACACCTGGAGCACCACCGCTCCATTGCCTCCATCACCACCAACTCTCAACGTGACAAAAACACAGGCCCCCAGGTTAATCACTGTGCCACATACCAGCCCAATCCCCTCGTGACAGCAACCACACCGTGTGAGTTGACCTTGGCTGGGACCCCAATTGCCTAGAAAACTCCCTTCTCACGAATCGTTTTGTGGGTCACATGGCTCTCTGACCGCAACTCATCCCCAAACCCCCCACCCATACCGACCAGAACACCCTCTATCCCATCTATCCCCTCTACAACCCATCAGTTTATCCTACACGTTGCTCGAGTCTCCCCAACCAGGCCTCCCACTGCCGAACGTTCACCAGCATGCAGCTGCACTGCTCTTAATGTACGCCTCCTCCTCTTGGGCCACCTCCCTGCACTTCCTCTGCCCGCCCTCCACCCGGCACGCCTTCACCCCTTTGCCTGGCTGCCTCTCCACCTCGCACATGCACCCCGGCATCGGGTTCGCGTAGAAATTCTCCTCCAGCTTCATTGGTATGCCTCCTCCTCCTTGGATACCTCCCTACACCTCCTCTGCCCGCCCTCCATCCGGCCTCTCCACCTCGCACATGCATCCCGGCATCGGGTTCGCGTAGAAGTTCTCCTCCAGCTTCATTGGTATGCCTCCTCCTCCTTGGATACCTCCCTACACCTCCTCTGCCCGCCCTCCATCCGGCCTCTCCACCTCGCACATGCATCCCGGCATCGGGTAGAAATTATCCTCCAGCTTTGGGTTCTCCCCGGCCTCCCGCTGGTGCGGACCCCCCACGCGCCCCTTGTGCTGCTTCCGGATCTCCTTGCGCACCGCGTTCCAGCTCATCTCACCCGCCTTGAACTGGTCCAGCATGTCAGAATGTTATAATTGTCTAGCCTGCAGTGGGGTACTCCATAGTGAGTACAGCCCAATTAGGGTTTGCTATATGTATCCAACTGCTTGCTAGTGAAACCACTCCTTTCTTCATTTCTCTTTTCTACTGCTTACTTCTGACATGGTTTCAGAGCAGGTCGACCCCCTTGGGTCGATCCTGTGGGTGGGCCCACCACCTAACTGCTTCCGCTGCTGTTCTGCTTCTCGCGCGCCTTTGGCGCGCGCCGTCTTCTTCCTGCCGTGCGCTCGGGGCGCGCGGCGAGTTTCTGCCCGCCGTGCGCCCCGAGGCGCGCGGCGGTTTTCTGCCGTGGGGGATCCGCGCGCGCCCCCCCCCCCCGCCATCCCGTCGCCCGTCGCGACGCCCAGGGGGGCCGCGCGTCGCCCTGCCCGTCGCCCGTCGCGGCGCCCTGGGCTCTAGCGCGTCGACCCCCCCCCTCCCGTCGCCCGTCGCGGCGCCCTGGGGGGCCGCGCGTCGCCCCTCCCGTCGCCCGTCGCGGCGCCCTGGGGGGCCGCGCGTTCCCCCCTCCCGTCACTCGTCGAGGCGCCCTGGGGGCCGCGCGTCGCCCCTCCCGTCACCCGTCGCGGCGCCCTGGGGGGCCGCGCGTCCCCCCCCTCCCGTCACTCGTCGAGGCGCCCTGGGGGCCCGCGCGCCGCCCCGCTTCCGCTCACACACCGCCCCAGCTGCTGCCCCCGTTTTTGCCCTACGTTTGGGGGTATGGGGGTGGCAAGTATGGGGGTGGCGGGTGTGTGATCCGTCCCCTACTCCTCCTCCTCCTCCGTCTCCCACTGCTGCAGCTACCGCTGAGGGGGGTGGGTGTGTGGGAGCCGAGGGTTTAGGGTTTAAAGGGGGTGACGTGGGAGTGGAGTTAGGGGTTCAGCAGGGGGTGTGTGTTAAGGGTGTGGGTCAGTTGGAGGAGGTTGTGTGGAGGTAGCTGTCGTGTCGCCTGCAGCGCCTGTAGTCCGTCGCCCTTGCTTCGGTAGCTAGTGAGCCTGTTGCACCAGTCGCCAGTGGGTCCGTTGCTCCTGCCGCTCGTCTTAGCTGCGGAGCCAGTCACTCCAGTAGTCCGTCGCCCTTGCTTCGGTAGCCACTGTGGGTCCGTCGCCCTTGCTTCGGTAACCCTGAGTCAGCAGCTCCTGTGCCCGTGCCTCTGCAGCTTCAGTTGTTGCCTCCCATCTTCTCTCCTTTCACAGTTCCTCCTCCTCCTCACTTGCCCGCTGTGATTACCTCTAGCTTTGCTTGTAATTGTGAACTATTAATATGCTTGCTTGTTGTGCTGATTACACCCCACTTTGGCTATGGGGGTGTGTCAGAATGTTATAATTGTCTAGCCTGCAGTGGGGTACTCCATAGTGAGTACAGCCCAATTAGGGTTTGCTATATGTATCCAACTGCTTGCTAGTGAAACCACTCCTTTCTTCATTTCTCTTTTCTACTGCTTACTTCTGACACAGCAGGCGAACCACCGCCTCCGTTACGCTGCTGAGGGGCCCGGCCTTGGAGTGGTGGCGCCAACTCACGCAAACTACTGTAAGAAGGGCTCATTTGGACGGGCATCAACAGGGTGAGGGGCATGCAGCTGCAACTTCGAGCTTAGGGAGTTTAGCTTTGGGTGTTACCACGGTTCCGACGACATGGGAAGGATTTGAAGCGGCGCTGAAGAGTAGGTTCGACTTGGTGAATGCCTCCGAAGCTACTAGGAAGCATCTGCGTCATTTCCGACAGATAGGACGTCCAGGAGTACACACGACGGTTCTTCAGCATCTGCAACGAGATAGACGATATCACGGAAGCAGAGATGCGCGATCGCTACCTCGAAGGGTTGAAGCCGGACATAGCGGAGATCATAGCGATTCACGGATTGTCCACCTTCGAGTCGGTAGTCGCAGCAGCAGAACGCGTCGACGCAGTACGAAGCCGACGGGGTCGTGACGATCGCGATAGGAGATACAAACCGATCAACGACACTCGATCGAGGGACGGACCATCGCCCATGGAGATTGGTGCAGTTAACAGTGACGGCTCACAGAGAACGGGATTTAGGGGGAACTGTCACTACTGCAAAAAGCCGGGACACATGAAGCGGGACTGCCCACAGCTTAAGGAGCGGCAGCAGGGAAACGGAAACCGCCAGTAGATAGCGGGTCGCTAGCTGGTGTGGACGCTTCCGAACCCGCCACGTCTACCAACGTAGAGGAGACGGCCTTAGAGCAGTCATCTACGCCGAACGAGGTAGACACTGTTGATCGTCCAGTCGTGCTTCTAGGCAAGCTTCGCGGTGTTCCAGTCAAGATTCTCATCGATAGCGGAGCTAGCCACTCGTTCGTTTCGTCTTCATTGGTTAGTCGTCTCCATCTCGAGGCAGATTCGGCAGTCAACTTCAAGGACGCTCGCATGGTAGATGGGACGCCACTTCACATAGGACCAGTCATTCGCAAGTTGCGCGTAGTGCTAGGACCAATCACGGTTAGGCGTGATTTCGATTCCGCGACGCTGGACGGTTACGACTTCATCTTCGGTAGGGATTGGCTACGGACGGTTAAGACTCAGTTCGATTGGGCTCAGGGAAGCTGCAGCGTCAAGGTAGATGGCGAGTTCCGGGAGCTGCCACAGTGGAGCGATGCGGCCACATCCTCCACAGCTATCATTAATGCTGTTCGTGTGCGACAGTTGGTGAAGCGTGCGGCGCGGATCTTTGCGGTTTTCCTTGAGGAGGTGGAAGCTGAGGAGGGGAAAGGAGGGAGTGCAGCAGTTGGTGAGAAGGCGACTCTTCCTGCTGAGGTGAGTGCATTGTTAGCAGAGTTCGCAGACGTCTTCCCAGACGAGTTGCCCCCAGGGTTGCCTCCCAGCCGAGCAGTAGACCATCGGATAGAGTTGGAGCCGGGAAGCAGACCAGTAGCGAAGCCGCAGTGGAGGTTGAGTCCAGCAGAGACAGAGGAGATGACGCATCAGGTTAGGCACTTTCTCGCGCAGGGTTTCATACAGCCATCTAGATCGCCTTGGGCAGCACCGATCCTTTTCGCGCCTAAGAAAGACGGAGGGTTACGGATGTGCATAGATTACCGCGCACTGAACGCCGCCACCGTCAAGAATAGATTCCCAGTTCTGAGAGTAGAGGATCTTCTCGATGCAGTGCAGGGCGCTAGAGTCTTCTCAAAGATCGACCTCCGTTCGGGTTACCACCAAATTCGCGTACTTCCAGAGGACTAGCACAAGACGGCGTTTCATACGAAGCAGGGGTTGTACGAGTTTAGGGTTCTTCCGTTCGGTTTGACCAACGCCCCAGCGACGTTTCAGACGCTCATGAACACTGTCCTCTCCGAGTTCCTAGGTTCGTTCGTCGTGGTTTACCTAGACGACATCTTGACCTTCTCAAAGACGAAAGAGGAGCACGTGCAGCACTTGCAGAAGGTCTTCGAGGTCTTACGGAGGGAGCAGTTGTACGCGAAGCAGTCGAAGTGCGAGTTCTTCCTTCCAGAGGTCGAGTTTCTAGGCCATGTCCTATCCGCTAGTGGCATTAGGACCGACCCGAAGAAGACCGCAGCAGTACAGGATTGGGTAGCACCGACCTCAGTCAAGGAGTTGCAGAGCTTTCTCGGATTCGCCAATTACTACCGTCGTTTCGTTCAGGGTTACGCATCGATCGCTAGTTCACTCACCGACCTACTTCGGAAGGGCGTAGATTTCGATTGGGGTCCAGCGCAGCAGCAGGCGTTCGAGCAGATGAAGCAGTCGCTCACGTCTTCACCGACACTGTCGTACCCTGATCCCACTCGCCCGTACGTTGTAGTGACCGACGCTTCAGATCGGGCCATAGGAGCAGTGCTTCTTCAGGACCAGGGACGCGGGTTGCAGCCGATCGCGTACGAGTCGCGTAAACTTAGGGGAGTGGAGTTGAACTATCCCATACACGACAAGGAGGCGCTCGCGATCATCCATGCGTATAAGGTGTGGAGGTGCTACCTAGAGGGGGCAGATAGTGTTATACGCACGGACCATTGCTCGCTTCGTTTCCTCAAGTCGCAGCCGCAGCTGAGTCGTCGCCAGGCTAGATGGATGGAGTTCATGGAGGGGAGTTTTCACTACAGGATATAGAGACAGACGGACAGACCGAGCGTGTGAACCAGGCCTTGGAGCAGATTCTTCGCAGCATCACGATGCACGACGCATCTGCATGGGACAAGAAGCTGAGCATGGCCGAGTTCGCCTACAACAACACGCACCACTCGTCCACAGGCATGTCACCGTTCTTCGCTCTGTACGGTCAGCACCCCAATGTCCCCACTCGTGTCGATCTCACACCCACAGTCCCTCGTGCGGACAACTTCCACCAGCATCTCACCTTCATTCATGATCACGTGAGGAAGCACCTTGAGCTCGCAAATGCACGCATGGCACGCACCACCAACCGCAGTCGTCGTGAGGTGTCGTTTTCAGTCGGCGACCGTGTTCTTTTGGATAGCCGCAACCTCCGACTGCCACAGGACAGCAAGCTCCGCCCACGCTTCATTGGTCCATTTGTCATTGAGCGCGCACTTGGTCCAGTCGCATACCGCCTTCGCCTTCCCGCTCATTTCCGCATGCACCCGTCATTCCACGTGTCTCTTCTTCGGCCTTACACCGATCCTAACACCGCATTCTCGGGCCGTGATCGCAATCCACTGCCGGTAGCTGTTGACACCGACGAGCCCGACTACCAGATCCAGCGCATCCTCAGGCACCGACGCCGTCTCCAGGGGGGTGTCTCCTTCATCGACTTCTTGGTTCGTTGGCGTGGTTACGACGCAGCAGACGACAGCTGGGTTCCTTCGTCCTCACTGTCTCATGACAACGCTTACCTCCACGCGTACCTTCAGTCTGCAGGCGCCGCAGACGTCGCCTCCTTGGGAGGGGGGTAGTGTTATAGGGGGTTTTACTGTTCATCCAGAACAGTACTTCCCAACCTTATCATCATCCTATCTTTCCAGATTTCCTAGTGCCACGTGGCACTCTAATCTTCTTGCCTTACAATTCTAGTCCCACGAAGTACTTTCCGACATTCGACTTTGCATGCTATATCAATCTTGCTTGTATTCCCCAATATCAATCAATTCTCATTCAACTCTTCAATTACTCAGTTACCTCTTCGCCTATTTCGCCAACACTCTCTTTCGCCAAAGTCTTCCGCTGCGCTTATCCTCAATTTAGTCAACCCCGCTATTCCTTAGCGGATTTAGGCCAAGGGGCCTAACAATCTAATAAACATGAGATTTTGATTTCAGATGACAGAACCAAACACAGTGAGTGGATGGATGGATGCTAGCAAATCTTAGGTTGGGCGATGGCCACACCACATGGGCATCGAATACGTTTCAACCAGTGATGCAAGGAGCTGCTAAATGGAGAAGGCTGGGCTGGCCCTTTCACATATACTTGAGCCCTTGCAGTCAACACAGGAGTGTTGGTGGTGGTGATGCACATTTGCCCAAGTCAGGTAGTTTCAGAGCAAAATCGGAGGAAGGCAAGGAGGCCACAACAATGCGTTGCCTTTATTTCGTTGCACTGTAACTCGCACTCTCTCTCACCCATCATGCGAAAAGAGGAACACATCTATTGAATCGACACATAAGCCAGCCCCTGCCAGCCAGCCAGCCAGCCAGCCAGCCAGTTAGCTACACCTGGAGCACCACCGCTCCATTGCCTCCATCACCACCAACTCTCAACGTGACAAAAACACAGGCCCCCAGGTTAATCACTGTGCCACATACCAGCCCAATCCCCTCGTGACAGCAACCACACCGTGTGAGTTGACCTTGGCTGGGACCCCAATTGCCTAGAAAACTCCCTTCTCACGAATCGTTTTGTGGGTCACATGGCTCTCTGACCGCAACTCATCCCCAAACCCCCCACCCATACCGACCAGAAGACCCTCTATCCCATCTATCCCCTCTACAACCCATCAGTTTATCCTACACGTTGCTCGAGTCTCCCCAACCAGGCCTCCCACTGCCGAACGTTCACCTGCACACAGCTGCACTGCTCTTAATGTACGCCTCCTCCTCTTGGGCCACCTCCCTGCACTTCCTCTGCCCGCCCTCCACCCGGCACGCCTTCACCCCTTTGCCTGGCTGCCTCTCCACCTCGCACATGCACCCCGGCATCGGGTTCGCGTAGAAATTCTCCTCCAGCTTCATTGGTATGCCTCCTCCTCCTTGGATACCTCCCTACACCTCCTCTGCCCGCCCTCCATCCGGCCTCTCCATCTCGCACATGCATCCCGGCATCGGGTTCGCGTAGAAATTCTCCTCCAGCTTTGGGTTCTCCCCGGCCTCTCGCTGGTGCGGACCCCCCACGCGCCCCTTGTGCTGCTTCCGAATCTCCTTCCGCACCGCGTTCCAGCTCATCTCGCCCGCCTTTAACTGGTCCAGCAACCGAACAACCGCCTCCCTGGTTGGTGGGATATGGGGAATGGAAAGAAATGTCAAGGGGTTGGCAAAGAAATTCTCATCCGGCTTTGGGTTCTCCCCGGCCTCTCGCTGGTGCGGCCCCCCCACGCGCCCCTTGTGCTGCTTCCGAATCTCCTTGCGCACCGCGTACCAGCTCATCTCGCCCGCCTTGAACTGGTCTATTAGGCGCACCACCGTCTCCCTGGTTGGGGGGATAGGTGGGGGCAAAGGTTTAGGGTTGGGCATTACCGTAAGCATATGAGGGTTGGTGCTTGCGCACCGCGTTCCAGGTCATCTCGCCCCCCTTGAATCAGTCCAGCAACCTCACCACCGCCTCCCTGGTTGGGGGGGGGGGGGGATTCGGGGGAAAGAAGCATCACAAGGGGATTGAACTTGTCTGTCCAATGGTGCGGGCCCCACACACGGCCCTTGTGCTGCTTCCGGATCACCTCGCGCACTGCATTCCAGCTCATCTCGCCCACCTTGAATTGGTCTATCCACGTGATAAAAGTGATGTTTTGAGACGCCTCAAAACATCACTTTTATCACGCAGCTTCCGGATCACTTCTCGCACTGCATTCCAGCTGATCTCGCCCACCTCGAATCGGTCTATCAGCCGCACCATCGCCTCCCTGGATGGGGAGGAATATGTTCGGGAAAGGAGAATCACATGAGGAATAGACTGGTCTATCCGTTGGTGAGAACCCCCATGCACGCGCCCCTTGTGCTGCTTTCGGTTTTCCTTACGCACTGCGTTCCAGCTCATCTCGCCTGCTTTGAACTGGTCTAGGAGCCGCACCACAACCTCCCTGGTTGGGGGGATTACCGTACACGGAGGGTGGGAAGAAACGATTTGAAGGGGTTGGAGAAAGCGTCAGGGGCTGGTGCTTGCACACCACGTTCCAGCTGATCTCGCCTGCTTTGAACTGGTCTACGAGCCGCACCACCGCGGCACCGCCTCCCTGGTTTTGGAGATTGTGGGGGACGGAACGTTACAAGGTTTAGAGGGCTGGCGTTTCAAATACAATTGGGTGTTGGTAGCTGCGCACTGTTTAGTCCACTCCACTGCAGACGTCACTCTCCACTCTCCACCGCCACTGTGTAGTCCACTGCTGCCAGCCAGCCTGTTCTGTTTACCCCCCCAGCGCTACCAACCCCTCCAGGCTTCTAGAAAGAACCACACGGGCCTTCAACACAATCTCTCTCACCTCCCTCACCTCCCTCACCTCCCTCCGTTTCAGCTGTCCGCAGGCCTAGCAGGTCCCTAACAAAGCTTCCCGCCTCCTCACCTGTCGGGGATACGAGTCTTCCTGTGCCCTTCAAACCGCCGGTGCCCCTGCACGGCGCGGGCCATGTTGCCCTCATACGTGTATGCAAACACGTCACTCTCCACCTCCCATCTTCTCTCAACCCATCACCCTCCGCTGCTAATACCCTATTCCCCTCACCTGTCAGGGATTATTGTCTTCCTGTGCCCTTCGAACCGCCGGTGCCCCTGCACAGCTCTCGCCATGTTGCCCTCATACGTGTATGCAAACACGTCACTCTCCACGGCAGCCACCCTCTCGCCCTCACCTGTCGGGGACAATCGTCTTCCTGTGCCCTTCGAACCGCCTGTGCCCCTGCACGGCTCTCACGGTTTTGCCCTCATACGTGTATGCAAACACGTCACTCTCCACTGCAACCGCTCTCTCGCCCTCACCTGTCAGGGATGATCGTCTTTCGATGCCCTTCAAACCGCCTGTGCCCCTGCACGGCCCGTGCCATGTTGCCCTCATACGTGTATGCAAACACGTCACTCTCCACTGCAACCGCCCTCTCGCCCTCACCTGTCAGGGATAATTGTCTTTCGATGCCCTTCGAACCGCCGGTGCCCCTGCACGGCGCGGGCCATGTTGCCCTCATACGTGTATGCAAACACGTCACTCTCCACTGCAACCGCCCTCTCGCCCTCACCTGTCAGGGATGATCGTCTTTCGATGCCCTTCGAACCGCCTGTGCCCCTGCACGGAGCGGGCCATGTTGCCCTCATACGTGTATGCAAACACATCACTCTCCACCTCCCATCTTCTCTCAACCCATCACCCTCCGCTGCTACTACCCTATTCCCCTCACCTGTCGGGGATTATCGTCTTTCGATGCCCTTCGAACCTCCTGTGCCCCTGCACGGCGCGGGCCATGTTGCCCTCATACGTGTATGCAAACACGTCACTCTCCACTGCCACCGCCCTCTCGCCCTCACCTGTCAGGAATTATCGTCTTTCGATGCCCTTCGAACCGCCGGTGCCCCTGCACGGCGCGAGCCATGTTGCCCTCATACGTGTATGCAAACACGTCACTCTCCACGGCCACTGTGTAGTCCACTGCTGCCAGCCTGTTCTGATACCCCCCCAGCGCCGCCAGCTCCTCCGGGGTCGCCAGAGTTGAGTGAGTGAACGTGTTGGGGTAGTAGCGCGTCAGCTCCTGGCGAGGGGTTGATGTAAGAGGGGTTGAAAATAAGGGCAAAAAAAAAGGGAAGGAAAGAGATGGGCGTGAGTGGCAGCCAATGAACACCTGACAGGCTGGCAGGCTGGAAGCAGTGGACTACACAGTGTCGTGAACGTGTTGGGGTAGTACCGCGTCAGCTCCTGGCGAGGGGTTGAGGGGAGAAGATGCGAGTGGGAAGGAAGGAAAAGGGGAGCATGAATGGTGGGGGAATGGGAGCCACTGACGAGGGGTGTTGAAGTGGAGTGCGTGAACGTGTTGGGGTAGTACCGCGTCAGCTCCTGGCGAGGTTAAGGTGGGAGGATGCAAGTGGGAGAGAAGGAAAGGGGGAGCATGAATGGTGGGGGAGTGGGAGCCATTGATGGGCGGTGTTGAAGTGGAGTGCGTGAACGTGTTGGGGTAGTACCGCTTCAGCTCCTGGCGAGGGGTTAAGGGGAGAGGGTGCGAGTGGGAGGGAAGGAAAGGGGCGAATTAATGGTGGGGGGGTTGCCGTCACTGACGAGGGGTGTTGAAGTGGAGTGCGTGTGAACTTGTTGGGGTAGTACCGAGTCAGCTCCTGGCGAGGTTAAGGTGGGGAGTGGCTAGCGGGAGGGAAGGAAAAGGGGCAAATTAATGGTAGGGGAATGGGAGCCATGATGAAGAGTGTTGAAGTGGATTGGGTGAACGTGTTGGGGTAGTACCGAGTCAGCTCCTAACGAGGGGGGACGTGTTGGCGGGGTTGAGCAGAAGAAAAACAAAAAAACACAGGAAAGGGAGCGGATGGGAGTGAGCAGGAGCCAGATGAGAGCAGGAGCCAACAAACACGTCACTCTCCACCACCACTGAGGATTCTCAAACGAGAATGTCGTCAGCAAGGCATGCCAGATGATTTCCTCTTCTCCTCTCCTCCTTACCGAGAGGCCTTTAGAGCCGTAGATGTCCCCAGCAGCGATATAGATCAACGTCTTCTTAGGAAACCCCATGGAGTGCAGAAACAGCGCGGTCTCCTTGGGCGTGAGGGGGCACGACAACCATCCTCTTATATCCCTCACCTCGAGGCATACCAAATTGCTTCGCTTTGTCTCCTCACCGTAAGGCCTTTAGAGCCGTAGATATCCCCAGCAGCAATATAGATCAACGTCTTCTTAGGAAACCCCATGGCGTGCAGGAACAGAGCAGTCTCCTTGGGAGTGAGGGGGCACGCGCCCTCCTTGCGCCGCGCCTCCCCGTCGATGTCCTTCTCCTTCCACCGCGAGTTGTTCAGCCGCATCGCCCTCAGCTCCCCACTCTCCCACCGGCTCAGCCCGTGGTCGCACCCTGTGAAGGCCAGCATATCCTTCTCATATCTGCAAGGACGAGGGGGGCGAAGGAAGGGGGTCGCACAAACAAGTAAGCCTGTGGTTGCACCCTGTGAACGCCAGCATGTCCTTCTCATATCTGGTATGGGTGAGAGGGTAGGGGAATTTGTGGGCGCACGTCAACAATCAACCCGTGGTTACACAATCGACACTTATCTCCCTGTAGCACCCTGTGAACGCCAACATGTCCTTCTCGTACCTGGCAATAGGTAGTGAGAAACGTGGGAGTGAGAGGGGAGAAGGAGGAGAAGAGGGAGTGGGCAATCAACGACCAACCCGAGGTCGCACCCTGTGAACGCCAGCATGTCCTTCTCGTACCTGGGAGGAGGAGGAGGGGGGGGAGGGACTCAGCAAGGAATCAGCCCGCGGTCGCACCCTGTGAACGCAAGCATGTCCTTCTCGTACCTGGGAGGAGGAGGAGGGGGGGGAGGGACTCAGCAAGGAATCAGCCCGCGGTCGCACCCTGTGAACGCAAGCATGTCCTTCTCGTACCTGGGAGGAGGAGGAGGGGGGGGAGGGACTCAGCAAGGAATCAGCCCGCGGTCGCACCCTGTGAACGCAAGCATGTCCTTCTCGTACCTGGGAGGAGGAGGAGGGGGGGGGAGGGACTCAGCAAGGAATCAGCCCGCGGTCGCACCCTGTGAACGCAAGCATGTCCTTCTCGTACCTGGGAGGAGGAGGAGGGGGGGGAGGGACTCAGCAAGGAATCAGCCCGCGGTCGCACCCTGTGAACGCAAGCATGTCCTTCTCGTACCTGGGAGGAGGAGGGGGGGGGGGGAGGGACTCAGCAAGGAATCAGCCCGCGGTCGCACCCTGTGAACGCAAGCATGTCCTTCTCGTACCTGGGAAGGGGAAGGGGATAGGGAGTTGGGGGGAACGGGAAGGGGATAGGGAGTTGGGGGGAACGAGAAGGGGAGAGGAGTGGGTTGGATTCGAGCTGCCCCACAGCAATCAGCGATCACCCCCTGGCCGCACCCTGTGAACGCTCGCATGTCCTTCTCAAATCCGAACGGGTGAGAGGGCGAGGAATTTTGCCAGGGGAAGAGACGGAGGGAAAGGCGGCACAGGCAGGCAAAAGGGACGTGTGCTGCTGGATGGACAGGAGGATGTGGACTAGAAGGAATCGCCACTGGCAATGCATCAACACTCTATCTCCTCACCTCAGGTGCAGTGCGATGTAGGGCCCGAGCTTCCTCAGCCGGGCGACCAGGTGTCGGTGCAGCGCAGGGCGCGGTGGTTGCCTCGGCATCGCCGGTGTCAGCCTCTGAACCCTACACCCTGTCTCCTCACCTCAGGTGCAGAGCGATGTAGGCCCGAGCTTCCTCAGTCGGGCCACGAGGTTCCCAGCAACACGGGAGATGGTGTCAGTGTACCGGAGGGCGCGGTAGTTGGCTCGACAGCAGCGGTGTCAAACCCTAAGCCCCCTGCCCTATCTCCTCACCTCAGGTGCAGAGCGATGTAGGGCCCGAGCTTCCTCAGCCGAGCGATCAGGTTCCCAGCAACGCGGGAGATGATGTCGGTGTACCGGAGAGCGCGGTAGTTGGCTCGGCAGCGCAGCCGCTGGATGGACTCGGGCATGCCGTTGTTGGCCAACCGCGAGTCCGTCAGGGGGAACCGCATCACCTCCTCCCTTGGTTTCCTTCCCTACCGTGCTCCCTACCATTGCAATGCGAGCACACACCTGAGGTGCAGCGCGATGTACGGTCCGAGCTTCCGCAAGCGGGCGACCAGGTTCCCAGCGACACGGGAGATGGTATCCGTATAGCGGAGGGCGCGGTAGTTGGCTCGGCAGCGCAGCCGCTGGATGGACTCGGGCATGCCGTTGTTGGCCAGCCGCGAGTCCGTCAGGGGGAAGCGCATCACCCGGTGCTTCTTCAGACGCAGAAGCAGGTCCTCACGATAGTAGGAGAACTGGGGGAAGAGCGGGGGGAGTGGGCAATGACAGGGCGAAGTGGGTGAGAAGGAACCGCATCACCCGGTGCTTCTTCAGGCGCAGGAGAAAGTCCTCGCGATAGTAAGAAAACTGCGAGGCATGCGTTTCAGGCACAGGAAAAGGTCCTCACGGTAGTGATAGAACTGGTGGAGAGAAGGTGTGAAGTGGACGAGCTGACTTGAGTCAAAGAGGGGGAAAAACGCATCACTTCAAGTCACTGCTTTTCAGGTGGAATGGACGATTCTCGGGCCACGATCACTCACTCACAAGCGACCAGGAGAGATGGGAAACTTCTCGAGCACGGTGGGCAACTCTTCAGAGGAACTCATATTCATATATACGTATACATAAACGACTGGACACGTACCGGCGACCAGGAGATGGGGACACGTACCGGCGACCAGGAGATGGGGAACTTCTCGAGCACGCGGCGGTGGGCGACTCTGTGGGGCAGCTCCCTCACCACGCGGATGTCGTCCTTGAGCGTGGCCACGAAGTGCTCCAGGTCGAAAATGTCCTCGAACTCGCTGGGGAGGGGTGCGGGAGCGAAAGAAGGAGTGGGAGTGTGAAGATAGAAGTGATGATTGAATGTGAAACAGAGAGGGCACAGGAGGATCTCGTCCTTGAGCATGGCCACAAAGTGCTCCAGGTCGAATGTGTCCTCAAACTCGCTCACGTGGTAGACCGATGAGGAGAAGAGTAGGGAGTAGCGAAGCGAGAGTGTGGGACTTGATCCTGCGACCCAGTACTGCATACCTGGGGTCGGACCAGAAGGAGGTGTGGTCCAGCTCCGGCACCACAAGGGTGGCGTTCATGATGCGAGCCACTGCCACCATGTCGCAGATCTGTGTGTGGGATAGGCATCGGGTGGAATGGGGAAAAGGAAGAGTAGCATCAGCATGCAGCACGCAGGACACAGCACGGCAGAAGGCAGAGTTGATAGAAAGACTGGTTATGAATGACACTGGAAACGGCTCAAACAAAAGAGCGCGAAACGCAGCTCTTTTCACGCCTGTTTCTTTCCTATCTCTTTTTGACATGAGACAGCAAGCCCCCTAACTGGCTTGTTCACGAAAACATTCTCGTATCATCGTGAGAGGTTCAGGAGAAGATCCTGGTGGTAAAAGGTGACCACTCACCGCTGCTCGCATTTGGTTCAGACCCCCATTCGCGGTCACCAAAAGGTAGCCATTCGTTGCTGACTTGGCAGGAACTGCGAAGGGTGAGAGCAGCAGAGGAACAAGTAGAGTCTCTCAGGAAGTTCCCATCGTCTCTTGAGCAAAGCAACCTTTGGTCCCTCATGCACACCACCACCAGTACAGACTTCACGCAACAAGTTCTTTCTGGCACCCACTCATCCCTACCTCAGTGATAACCCTACTCAATTATATCCAAAACAAAATACCCGTCACACTGAAGAACGTACGTCAGGAAACGACATGCACTGCAGCTCGCATTGAAACCAGGAACCTTTTAACCTACCTTTATGTGTCTTGGAGCGTGCGATGCACTGTTCAATGTGCTCCACTGTAGGACTCCTCCACAGGAGCTTCTCCGACGTCCGTCGCGGAGCGTGCGACCCAGACGCGTTGAACCCTGACGTCCACACGGCGGCAATCGAGGACGACAGGAGAAGCGAAGACGGGGAGGAAGAGGAGGAGGAGGAGGAGGAGGAAGGAGAAGGGAACGAGAAGGAAGCTGAAGAAGGTGACGTGAGACGCTCCGTATTAGAAGCTGCTACAGTCAGCGTGGAGATGACTGGAGAGTCTGCTCCGATTCCAGAACGCGCCTTTTCTCCTCGTACAAATTCATCCCCCACCAGTTCCTCCCTTCCCGCTCCTCCCCCGCCCGCTCCAACCGCACCAATCACTGCCGAGGCTGCTGCTTCCGCGCCAGCGACTGCTGCTGCGGCTTGTGCCGCTTCGCCTAGAGCCCCGTCCAGCATGCTGACCTCGCTGCTTTCGCCAGGCGTTTTAACCACTGCTTGACGATTCGGCGTGTTTTGAAGCGTCTCAAAACTCGTTCCGGGCACGTCATGAGAAATCGGAGAGGATGTTGAAGACGTCAGGGTCGTGGAATCCGGCCTGTGCTCGCCTCGCTGGTACAGGGGAACGTTGGAATGAATAATAGTAAGAAGATCATGAATCAGTCCAGACATGCGAAAATCCATACGACCAACGATACGAGGTCCAGAAGGAAGCGAGCCGTGTAATGACACATTCCGAGCAGTTCATAACCCCGCACAAGAGATTCTCGCCGCTTTAGCTCCGCATCTACATTTCAACCTTGATGTGCTTCAACCCACCCCCTCATGGCAAACGCACAGAAGGCATACGCACGCTTAAAACCATTTGTCAGAAGCGATAACCCTCACCTCAGCCTGCAGAGCATGGCTTGAATCCCCAAGGCTGTCAGAAGAGGCTGGCAAGACGGATGACTCCGCTGTTCTTCTCCTTCCAAAGTCAGCAAGCTCTGTGCTGCTCGCACTTGTATCCGTATCTTGTTCGGATAACGACAAGGCGGCGAACTCGACTGGTAACGCGGAGGACGACGAGGGTAGGAACTTCATGAGGCCTCTTGTCTGCAACGACAAGGTCGAAGTACGGAATGTATAAATATTGATCAGACGACGAAGATGACAAAGAAGAAGGGGAGAAGAACCGTTGGCTCATATTCCTAAGATCTGCCTGACGATGAAGCAAGAGTTTTGAGATTCTCAAGTAGTAAACAATAGTCAACGGGTGCACGAAACGACATACCTTATGCAACGAAGGAATTGACTTCAGTGATGCTCCAACCATGACAAGGCCCACCATCAGCAACAGCATTTTCATGCGGAAGTGCACCAAGATTCGCCGGAGGTCTCGCCTTCCGAACCATCTTCTAGCCTCTGGTAACGCAGACGCTAAGGCTGTCCGGGTTTTGGAAGATAGCTGCTTCCGTACCTGACGCTTTCCATCAAGAATCTCAGGCTTCTCTAAACCGGGATTCAATGGGGAATCTCTAGCATGCTTAGGCAATGCCGTAAATCTCCATGACACCATGGATTCCTGTGCTCTGTCACCACCGGTGCTAATGTTGGCAGTACGAGCAGAGGGAGAGTGTGAATTGACTGCTGGTCCAGCAAGATCGTGCTGAAAAGACTGATGTGGGTGAAAGTGGTGGCTTGCGCCTTGAAGGTGTGTCAGATTTGCTGGTTGCTCGCTGAGAATGGGTCGATCATTTTCGCACAATGTTTCGAAGACTGGCCTTTGGCGTCTCGATGCTGAGACTAGAGGGCTTCTCGAGTGTTGCAGCGGGCTTGGCAAATCGCGAGTTTTTTGGTTGCTGCTATGAGTACGCTCCTGTAACACCTCTACGAAAGTACTGTCTGCTTCCTGTCCTCTCGGTGTTATGGGTTCCGTTGCAAGAGGAACAGCCATCTCGACTTTCATCCAAAATAATTCTAGAGGGAATTTCTCAATGGCGCATGGACGGATAACAACGGAAGCTCACCAACTCTTGCTTTGCGTGACAGATTAGCGAACTATCTCGACTTTGTCCATCACACCACCCCTGAACAACACTGCGAAGCTAACGATAACGGGAGAGGTCACGTATAATAGTGGGATGGCTACCCGCGTGTCGACTCAGCACACGCCAAGCGAGTGTTAGCGGCAGTTAGTGGAGCCGCGTGACAGCGTAGAGGTAGCCATTAGGACAAGTTGCTGTGGTATTCAGGATGCTACGACGCTATGAATGCTCAGTGATGCTCTGCTTCTGATGTTGCTCGAAAGCGTGGGTGACAAAGCAGGACGAAGAGATCACATGGCATGCTGCCTTGTAATTCCTTGGTTCTGCTGCTGACCTTGGTGTTTGGTCACACGGAGTACCGCAACGATGCACATGTAGAGTAAAAACTCGCGATTCAGCACCACGAGTTGATGCATTTAAACACTCTGGAACCATCGGTACCGTCTACCACCTTACTAAAATTCACGAATCCGAGGTTCATAAGTTCAAGTTGTTCCCAAAAGCTACACCGTCTTGATAATGCCCAGTGTTTACGTGGGCAGTGAAACCTCCCCCCCAGACACAAGAACCGAATGAGGTTTCAAGGAAAGCAGGAAGCCGAATGGCGGGAACGGGGAGCCGCTCCAGGCTGGTGCTTGCGGTTCGTTGCGGTCCCGCACCGCGACAGGCTCTGTGACTGCTCCAAGCAGATCGGCAAGGCAAGCCCGAGGTTCAAGGCTGACCGTCAAGCCCTGTGTTCGGTCTGACATTCGTTAGTGCAGCAATTGATGCATGCCCATTCATATTTTAGCCCGTTTATCCAAAATATTCGCTTTTCGTGCAACCAATTCAGAGCTTCCATTGGCACTTCATTATTTGTATCGGAGCAGCCAATAATGCCCCATCGCAGAAATGTTGCACCCCCAGAGGTTGCTAGGGAAGACATTAGCCTGCTGTTGCGCCTCGATCATGAAGCCAGCAAATGGAGTTCCCGTGAATTTCTCCTTTTCTGTGAGCAACGTACGATCATCAAGTTCAAACCTTGAGAACTCCTTGCAGCTGTCTGCTTCTCAACAGATCATCCTGTGCATGGAACCGCCCGCTGCGATGAAACTATGTAATGGGTCAAAGGATCAAGTCACAAACGACTTTCGCCCCCATATCAGCACGTCTGATTCTGAAGCTCTAACAAAATGGGCAGGAATATTCAGACATTGCTTCGTAGACTTCGCGAGCTGTTTCTTTTCGCCTTAGTTTTGAAATGCTATGGGAAAACGTCTGACATCGACCTTGTTCTCGTGGTAAGAGTTGGCTTCAACATTTCTTCCTCGAAGCAGGCGCATTTCCCACAAGTTTGATATAATGATGCCTGGTGGTCATGTTGATCATGCAGAGATATCGAGGCAGGGTGCTGAAGATCTGTTCAACACGCATGGTGGAGCCACGCTACCTCTTCTTTTTTCTTGGGAGGAGATAGATGGCATGCACTCGGAAAGATGTGTGGTACACAAGGCTTCCAGAACCGATGGTGATTCAAGCTCATCCGCTCCAGAGCAGCTGGTTAATGAAGAGCCTGAATGCTGTTCTTCAGAAATAGTGGAAATGCGGATTGTGGAGTCTCGGAGTGGTGTTCAGTTGGGGTTGAGAGCTGCTAGTGGGGCCCCGTTTGATCTCCATGATAGATCGGAGGGCAGTGCCTTTGACGAGCTTATGGAGAAGCTCAAGGTGGAGTGCACCACTGATCAGGACAGCAGCAGTGATGATGAGGATGCTGGTTAGTGTTATTTGTAGGTACTGGGCATGCTCATCTGAAAGGTGGGTCTTTAATAATGTATGCACTCAGGGCGTGTTCCTACGGCCCCTTATCAGGCCAACCTCTTATCAGGCTCGCTTCAAAACACACTGGAATTTCCCTAAACCCGAAAACCTTCGCAAATTTTACCAGGCAAACCTGACAAGAGGTTTGCCTGATAAGAGCGTAGGAACACGCCCTCAGCATGGCATTGTTACATAAGCCTTTTTGATAGGGTTCCAAATGGTTCTAACACAGACAGCTGTATAAGCCACATGCGGGCCATGTTTGGCTTTTAGAAGCTGACGGCCTTGGCTTTCATTTTCACTAGTGAAGGTTGCCAGAAAGGCATTCACCACCTGGCAGCGCCTCAAGAGGCTATAAGAGGCACGCAAATGCCTGCAGTATGGTTGGACCAAAAGGTACACAGCAGAGTGGGAGACGCCATCCTCAGCTCTGGTTATCAAAACAGCAGCACGTAGCTTCTTTGCTGGATATCTCAGCATAAACTCCGTAATCATCTCTTGATGCGGAGCATATTGCTGCTTCAGCTGGTAGACGCTGCCTTCATACATCTGCACGTCATGGCTTACAGGATGATGAGTTGGCAGTTTGGTAACATATTCGCAAGTAATGAGTCCAGACCAATTACCTGAGGTGCTGCTGCATCTACGGCGCTGGGTCCTGTCAGACTTGGGTCGTGCTGATATGATCTTCTAAGCAAAATCTTGGAATTCACGCCTTCCTTTCCAGGGTTGGTAACAGAAATGACGAAGGATGAATGCTTCACAGCTGACGGAATATCGTCTTCTGCTAGCGCATTGAACGATTTCTCTGACTTGTTGAACTCAAGAAATTGCAGAACTCCGCTGCCACAATGTCTTCTACCTGTCCAAGAACCAAAAGGAGAGTTAGATACGTCCAATATGCACCATCTCCCCGTGCTAATTCTGCGGTAAGCTGTACCTCTCAAACGTGAATCCCCTATGTACATGTGCGAGTGTGGATTTTCCAGTCCAGTGTTGACATCAAAAGTATCTGGCAGAGGGTTTGCAAATTCAACACAGAGGCAAACACACTTCAGGAAAACAAAAACGTATGACATACCACAAAGGAAAAAACATGACATGTGCACTTACAGTCAGAAGAAGGAAATCTGCCACAAATGTGGTTGTCGTAAAAGTCACATATTTGGAGCTTGAGGTTTTCATGAGAATCAACTAGAAATGGGTAGAAGGAAGTGATCTCCCTCTGACTAATTCCTGTTATAGAAGGGAAATAGTGCACAAGGAGAAAAGAGAAGAACCAGCAGGGTAATGGGATGCCTGGATCTGATAGGTTGACTTCTCCCCCCCACCTCCCCTTCCCTCCCCCCTCCCAAAAAAATAGTTGAGAAACAAAACACGTTTTGATATCATCATACCAATGAGTCGACGTGCCTTGACAAAGCAGCGAAACTCCATTTCTGGCCGGAGGTCAAACCACTTGCGCAAGGCGAGCACAAACTCAGACGGACGGCTCTGCTGCCCACACTCGTGCTGCTCCACCTCATCCACCTGCTGCTCTTGCCGTGCCTCAGCACCACCATTCATTTCACCATCGTGGTTACGCTCCTGCTGCTTTCCATCTGCTTCTGTAGCCGCCACACTTGCTCCGCCATTGCTCCTGTCACTGGCAGGCTCGGAACCATTGGCAGGTGGTTCCACTTTCGAAGAATCGTCAGTTGCAGAAGAGTCAACACAACTGTCAAAGCTGCCATACGCAATCGAAAAGGCATGGCATTTGCTTGTGATTAACCACTGAACACGGAGAGTGTGGTTGAACCACCCAGACTAGTCAGGAAAAAAACTATTCTGAAGTGCGTCAACAAGGAAAACCATGTACGGTACAAGTCAGCAGAGGTGGGCGTGTCGTGCGTGTGAGAAGATAATATCATACGCATGGCAGAGGTCGTAGGTGAGGGAGTCGGAGGCCTTGAGAAGCAGAAAGACCTCCTGGGCGTTGCTGCACTTGGGCGTGCCCGTTGCACTCAGCCACCCCACGTCCTGAGAATGGCACGAGATGAGTTCACGGGAGGGGGAGACAGAGAAGCGGGTGCCTCGATTTCGGGATTGAAGTGCCTTCCACAAAGAATGGATTGGAAGGTGAGAACCAAACCGGCCGCAGCACTCACCTTAGGGCAGCTCCAGTTGAGTTTCGGCAGCACAAATCCACCCAGCCGCGCAATAGCGGCGTCAACAGCAGCCTCGAGAGCGGGGAAGGAGGGCACGTCGGGCTCGTCTGCTTCGTCGTCCTCCTCCTTCATCCCCTCGTAGTAAGGATTGAGTAAGAATTGAAAGGTAAGAACCAAACCAGCCGCAGCACTCACCTTAGGGCAGCTCCAGTTGAGTTTCGGCAGCACAAATCCACCCAGCCGCGCAATAGCGGCGTCAACAGCAGCCTCGAGAGCGGGGAAGGAGGGCACGTCGGGCTCGTCTGCTTCGTCGTCCTCCGCCTTCATTCCCTCGTAGTAAGGATTGAGTAAGAATTGAAAGGTAAGAACCAAACCAGCCGCAGCACTCACCTTAGGGCAGCTCCAGTTGAGTTTCGGCAGCACGGATCCACCCAGGCGTGCAATAGCGGCGTCAACGGCAGCCTCGAGTGCGGGGAAGGAAGGCACGTCGGGCTCGTCTGCTTCGTCGTCCTCCTCCTTCATCCCCTCGTAATCACCTCGATGCGCCTCCCACTCGCCCACTCGCGTGCGCGTGGGCATCTGGAAGGGGAAGATGGACGAGGGAAGAGCGAAGAGGGAAGAGGGAAGAGCGAAGAGGGAGGAGGGAAAGAAGAGGGAAAAGGGACAGGGGAAGAGGGACGAGGGAAGAGGGGGGGGGGACAAGCACATGAGGTGAAGACGAGGAGATTCTTCAAAATGAGGAAACCATGAGAAGATTGAGGAGGAGAAACCACGATTTCCTTCCTGTATTCTATATCGCCCCCCTAAACCAGAAACCCATACCCGCTACTCGAAACCCCCCAACCCGATAACAAAAATATCGTTCTCTGCCCATCGTAGACGTCAAGATAGAGCTTCCAGTTCCTCATTCCCGTGCGTTTGTGCAAAGCTTAAGCGGCAACGCCGGCGAAGCAAGGCCAACTGAGTGGGATTTGACTGGAAGAAACCCGGAACGACTTGCGAAACACTTTTCCAGTATACACGCTTGTACGCGCTGGGTCATGCCGTTTGTACGATAGGGGTCTGTATCTAAGGCGCCTAAGGCGTGAATGCTTGAATTGGAGTAGAACGGAGGGGAGTGAGCAGAGCAACCTACCGCCTTACACGAAGCAGGGAGGAAGATTCCGTCAGAAAGCAGGTAGTCGACAAATTCGGGTGGGAGCGAGACGATCTCTGTGCGGAGCGAGACGGATCGGAATTTGGGGTACCAGCTCTGGATCTGACACGCGAGCACGTCAGCGCGACGCATGGCTGCAGATGCCGAATGCCGAATGCTGAACGCTGAACGGCCAAATCCTTGGTATTGCCGAGTACGACGCAAACGGAAAGTTGTTGGTGCTTAAGGAGGGGAAGCGTCGCGTCGCGTCGCGTACCGAAAGTCGTGCGTAAATCAGCGATGTTGGGTGACGGCTGTAGTCTGCGCGAAGAATTTATCTGGTGCTGGTTCTTGTCAATGCTAGTGCTGGCATTAGTGCACTAGTCTGTACTAATGAATTGATTCTTCTAGTGGCGCTGCAGCAGATGCGGAGGAGCTAGGATTTGTCGTGGTGGAACCAGCGGTGCTATTAGGTGCTACTCGGTCGGTGCCGATACTCGTTGCTCCAAGAAGTGCTTCACCACTGTACCTTTATTTGCGATACAGGCAGAGGAGGTGTGTTATCTTCTACTGAAGAAATTATATGAGAAGTGGCAGAATGCATAAGTACAACCAATCTACGGTAGCTTTCAACCATTCACAAACAGAACACAATAAGTTTACTTGATAAGAGCATTAGTAACCAAGTAATCTACACAAAGCTTTGTCGTGAAACCCATGAGGTCTTTTCCTTGAAGAGAATTGGTTGTCATCTTAACCCACTCTCTCACAACATGCCGATGATCACAACTGTCCAATTGCTCGTTGAATGGCTTCTCTGATCGCCTCCTTTTCAAGCTCTGATTCCACTACCAGCTGCATGGCCATTGTAAAAAAGAAACGAAATCACAAAAAACATGAAGAAGAATCCAGGTCGTTAAACAGTATTTCACAACCACCATCAATTGGACGAAGAATTATGCAACCCAGCCCGTAACAAAAAATGGGAAAGACGATTACGTCGTGAAATATAGAAGTTTGGCCAAAGTAAGAGTGTTCTCTCTTCTATGGACAACCCTGCACGTGCTACGAGTCATGTTTTGGGTCGACTCAAAACACGTGTTATCTCTTGGAGGGACAACCCTGCACTGCACGTAAACAAGCTTATATTCAAAGCGATGCAGCTTGAGATGAATGGTAGGAGTTTGATCAGGGAATAGCGTTACCTCTTGGATGGTCACCCCTGCACGTGCTACAAGCTTGTATTCAGAGTCTGACTGTGACGCCAGGAAGATCTGTGAGAGAGCAGATTAGAAGTGGTGTGGTGTGGTGTGGTGTGGTGTGGTGTGGAGTGGTGTGGTGTGGTGTGGTGTGGTGCGGTGTGGTGTGGTGTGGTGAGGTGTGCAGGGAAGGTTTGAAGAGGAGCGTGGAACAATAATACGTGAGAATGGGCTGCTATTTCCGTGATCAGTACAGTAGACGCAGTACTTGTATAGTCAAGTTGGAATTACGAACAAATGTGTATGAAAACTAATGAAATTGCAACCATCAACACTCACAACAACTTTAACATTCATTAAATTCTTGACAGCCATAACGAGCTTACCTGAAATCCAGGAGCCAAGGCACCTCCCTCGATCACACGGCCCAGATTCACAGAGGTTATGCCAGGTGTCGCTCTGAGACTAGCCGCCACTGCTTCTAGCTCAGCCGCTGCCTGTTCAGGGGAGTGTCCCGAGTTCAGGGGATTTTCAGGAAATTGTCAGGGAATTTTCAGGGGATTTTTCATGGAATTGTGGAGAGGTGCATTGGAAGGGAGAATGGAGACAGAGAGGCAGCATTACTGCTGCGCTAGTCTGTTAGCTACAATGTGCGGGGTACACAGGTGCACAAAGCGGGCTGGTCCATACACGGGCATCGGTCTTTGAGTCGACTCTAAAGTCATAAACTGTGCGGGGTACACAGGTGCAGAGTGCAGGCTCGTCTATACACGGGCATCTTTTGAGTCGACTCAAAAGTCACTGCGGGTACACAGGTGCACAGCACAGTGCAGGCTCGTCTATACACGGGCATCTGTCAGAGCCATCCTTTCAATTGCTTGCACCCGTTCACCACTATGCCAGTACCAACCTCACAGGACACTCCACTGCACTATAATGCCCTGCATGTCACCAAACCACACTACACCGAACTACACTACACTACACTACACTACACTACACTACACTACACTACACTACACTACGCTACGCTACACTACACTACGCTACGCTACGCTACACTACACTACACTACACTACGCTACGCTACGCTACACTACACTACACTACACTACGCTACGCTACACTACACTACATGCGCACCTCGAAGCGAGGCGGCATGCTTGGAGCCGATTCAGCGGCTTCAAGTGACCGGAGGAGGTCAGAAAGCGGGTTTTCAGGTGCCTGCTGCCGCCGCCACTGCTTTTTCGTTGTTGCCTGCTGCTGTTGCCTTCGCTGTTGCTTTTGAGTCAACTCAAAACGCACCTCAAAGCGAGGCAGCATGCTTGGAGAGGATTCAGCAGCTTCAAGTGACTGGAGGAGGTCAGAAAGCGGGTTTTCAGGTGCCTGCTGCCGCCGCCACTGCTTCCTCCCCTGCTGCTGTTTCTGCTGCTGCTGCCGCTCTTGCCTCTGCTGCCGTTCCTGATTCTGCTGTTGCTCCTGCCCCGGCTGCTGCTCTTGCGGTGGCTCGAGTGAAACGAGCAGGCGCTTTTGGACCGGCTTGCTGCGAATCACATGCACTGGCAGGGACTGGGGTGAGTGGGAAGGGTGGGAGGAAGGGGAGAGCGGGGAGAGATGGGATGGGAGGGGGGAAAGGGTGGCTCGAGTGAAACAAGCAGGCGCTTTTGAACCGGCTTGCTGCGAACCACATGCACTGGCAGGGACTGTCAGGTGCAGACGGGGTTGAAGGAGAGGGAGGGGAGGAGGCGGAAGACTAATTTTGAGGTGCCTAAGAAACAAAAGCTTGTAACTGGTTTGCTGCGAAGCACATGCACTGGCAGGGACTGGGAGGTGCGAGGTACGGCGGGGAGGGCGGGGAGGAGCGGTGAGGAAGGAAGGGTGGCGAAGAGAGAGGGAAGAGACCACCGCTGCTGCTGCCACTGCCACTGCCACTGCCGCTGCTGTGCCTGAACCAAAAACGTTAAACCCTTACCTAAATCGGTTAAGCATACACTACACATGCATGTGAGAGTGAACATATGGGCAACAATCGCATATTGGGAAGTGAATCTCTGACTTTTGAGTCGACTCAAAAGTCACCTTGTGCATACACATGCATGTGAGTGAGAGTGAACATATGGGCAATCGCATATTGAGACGTGAATCTCTGATGTGAATGGGATGAAGGGTGTGTGGCTTGAAGGGTTAGAGTTGCAAGGTTTAACGATTCCGGTTGAGCTTGGGTTTTGGGCTTTCAGTGTTTGATGTTTAAGGTGTAGACGTTTAGAGGTTTCGAGTTTAGGGTTCAGGAACGTGTTGAGTGCTTGATGCGAAAGCAAGCACACACACAGATGTGATGTGTGGACCTACATGGCCAATGGGGAAGGGCCACGTGTCCACTGGTCCTTGCTTCAGCTGCCGGATAGTGTCATAGTGAATCATGATGTTCACTCCCTCCACCTGTGAGGGTGTGACACGTGGCACACAGTGGAGACAGGGGATAAAGAAAGGGGCACATGAGGTACGGGACAGATGAGGGAAAGGGAGAATGAGGAAATGGGCGGATGAGGAAACACGATAAAGAAAACAAAGAGAAAAAATAGAGAGCAAGCCTCTTCTAAGCATGGGGTATCAGCAATCTCCTGTTAACATTGAAGCATGGGCAAACGTAGAAGTGCGTAATACACAACGAACACCAGTTGTAATTACCACATGTAAGAAGTGCCCTTGCTTCTGCTCACGAAGGCGCCTACACCAATGTAGGCGACAAATTTGCATACGCGCACATACATGTAAAATGACATTTTATTCGCTCTGATGTAGAACATACCTGAACGGTAGTGTTCATGTCACCAATGTACACCACTGTGGACGATAAAACACACATGCACACATGAACACATGCACATACACACTATCTCGTAGCAAACACATGTACTCTCATGTAGAGCGTACCTGAACGGTCATGTTCATGTCACTGATGTACACCACTGTGGACGTTGCAACACACATGCGTACATTCACATGCTTATTACCTGATGGCAAACACGCGGTCATGTTCAGGTCAACAATGTACACCACTGTGGACGATACACACAGACAGACAATAGTGGATACCCAATCTCATGGAGAACGCACCTGAACAGTCATGTTCATGTTCATGTCACTAATGTACACCACTGTGGACGTTGCAACACACATGCATAGATAAGTACACACAGATACACAGACAAACAATAGCAGGCATGCAATCTCAGGTAGAACGCACCTGAACAGTCATGTTGAGGTCACCAATGTACACCACTGTGGACGTTGCAACACACATGCATACATTCACATACACAAGAGTAATATCAAGAATAAAAGGAGTTGCCAGGTGGAACGCACCTGAACAGTCATGTTGAGGTCACCAATGTACACCACTGTGGATGTTGCAACAGACATGCACACATGCACTGCACATACATATTAACTGGTGGCAAGCGCGTGCACCCAGAGTAGAGCATACCTGAACAGTCATGTTGAGGTCACCAATGTACACCACTGTGGCCGTTGCAACATCCCCTGGTTGCAGCCGTTCCTGATGTGAGGGAATGCCATGCAGCCCATGCCATGATGCCATGCCATGATGCCATGCCATGATACCATGCCATGCAGCCCATGCCATGCAGCCATGCCATGCAGCCCATGCAGCCATGCCATGCAGCCCATGCCATGTCAACGTGCCGTGATGCCGTGCATATGCATACATGGAGGCGAGAAGACAGAGGGACAGCAAGACACACACATAGATGCATGCATAAAGCCACAGGAACGCACGCATCACACACAACAAACGCACATGATATGATTGCATAGACGACTGGTTGAGGAGTCAGAGTGAATAACGTGGAAGGAGATACAAGCAAGACAAGTGTACGGCCCACATAAACTTGTCGCCTCCTGAGGCACCTAAAAGAAAATGGCATCGGTTGTGAGGCGCTGCAAAAAGCATACACACCCTCCTGCAGCCGCAGAAAGCGTAGATACCCACCTGCAGCCGCAGAAAGCATAGACACCCACCTGCAGCCGCAGAAAGCATAGACACCCACCTGCAGCCGCAGAAAGCATAGACACCCACCTGCAGCCGCAGAAAGCATAGACACCCACCTGCAGCCGCAGAAAGCATAGACACCCACCTGCAGCCGCAGAAAGCATAGACACCCACCTGCAGCCGCAGAAAGCATAGACACCCACCTGCAGCCGCAGAAAGCATAGACACCCACCTGCAGCCGCAAAAAGCATAGACACCCTCCTGCAGCCGCAGAAAGCATACACACCCACCTGCAGCCGCAGAAAGCATACACACCCACCTGCAGCCGCAGAAAGCATAGACACCCACCTGCAGCCGCAGAAAGCATAGACACCCACCTGCAGCCGCAGAAAGCATAGACACCCACCTGCAGCCGCAGAAAGCATAGACACCCACCTGCAGCCGCAGAAAGCATAGACACCCACCTGCAGCCGCAGAAAGCATAGACACCCACCTGCAGCCGCAGAAAGCATAGACACCCACCTGCAGCCGCAGAAAGCATAGACACCCACCTGCAGCCGCAGAAAGCATAGACACCCACCTGCAGCCGCAAAAAGCATAGACACCCTCCTGCAGCCGCAGAAAGCATACACACCCACCTGCAGCCGCAGAAAGCATACACACCCACCTGCAGCCGCAGAAAGCATAGACACCCACCTGCAGCCGCAGAAAGCATAGACACCCACCTGCAGCCGCAGAAAGCATAGACACCCACCTGCAGCCGCAGAAAGCATAGACACCCACCTGCAGCCGCAGAAAGCATAGACACCCACCTGCAACCGCAGAAAGCATAGACACCCACCTGCAGCCGCAGAAAGCATAGACACCCACCTGCAGCCGCAGAAAGCATAGACACCCTCCTGCAGCCGCAGAAAGCATAGACACCCACCTGCAGCCGCAGAAAGCATAGACACCCACCTGCAACCGCAGAAAGCATAGACACCCACCTGCAGCCGCAGAAAGCATAGACACCCACCTGCAGCCGCAGAAAGCATAGACACCCTCCTGCAGCCGCAGAAAGCATAGACACCCACCTGCAGCCGCAGAAAGCATAGACACCCACCTGCAGCCGCAGAAAGCATAGACACCCACCTGCAGCCGCAGAAAGCATAGACACCCACCTGCAGCCGCAAAAAGCATAGACACCCTCCTGCAGCCGCAGAAAGCATAGACACCCACCTGCAGCCGCAAAAAGCATAGACACCCACCTGCAGCCGCAAAAAGCATAGACACCCTCCTGCAGCCGCAAAAAGCATACACACCCACCTGCAGCCGCAAAAAGCATAGACACCCAACTGCAGCCGCAAAAAGCATAGACACCCTCCTGCAGCCGCAGAAAGCATACACACCCACCTGCAGCCGCAGAAAGCATAGACACCCACCTGCAGCCGCAGAAAGCATAGACACCCACCTGCAGCCGCAGAAAGCATAGACACCCACCTGCAGCCGCAGAAAGCATAGACACCCACCTGCAGCCGCAGAAAGCATAGACACCCACCTGCAGCCGCAGAAAGCATAGACACCCACCTGCAGCCGCAGAAAGCATAGACACCCACCTGCAGCCGCAGAAAGCATAGACACCCACCTGGAGCCGCTCCTCCACTGTTCCCTCCTCTCCACCCGCTCCTTGCCCTCCAGATCCGCTCCCCTTTGTGTCACAAGGGTGTTTCAACTCTACCCCCTCCCAATTCCACCCATCTAACTGCAAGCACCCTCCTGCAGCTGTTCCCTCCCCTCCACCCGCTCCTTGCCCTCCAGATCCGCTCCCCTTTGCTTTTTGAGGCGCCTCAAAACACACCTGCAAGCACCCACCTGCACGCACCCACCTGCACGCACCCACCTGCACGCACCCACCTCCTGCACGCACCCACCTCCTGCACGCACCCACCTCCTGCACGCACCCACCTCCTGCAAGCACTCACCTGCAAGCACCCACCTGCAGCTGTTCCCTTCGCTCCACCCGCAAGAAGTTCTAGTCACATCTATTTACCTCCCACCCCCACATGCGACGAAAAAAAAAGGGCACGTTTCACCTTTTCCACATAGGACAAAAGGAGGCCAGGAAAGAAGGCAAGGAAAGAAGGCAAGTCTCACCTCCCCCACATAGGACGAGAAGAGAGCGAGTTTTTCCTGAGTGTACTGCGCACTCAGTTGAGCCCTCAAGGCCTCCACACCCTCCCCTCCACCTCCCCACTCTTCTCCCTCTCTCCCCACTCCTCTCTCTTCCCCTGCTCCTTCCATTCTCCCCTCTCCTCCCCCCACTTCCTTCTCTTTCTTCTCTTCCCCATCTTTCCTTTTGCTCCACGCCTTCCCCTCCTGCTGCTTCCCGCTTCCCCTCTCTCTCCCGCCGCTCTCCTCCCTTGCCCCAAACAGGTTCGGGTCGTGCCCGTTGGCTCGGAGCCAGCCTCGGAAGCTCCAGCGGCGCAGCTCCGGGAGCATGGAGCTGGCTGGGAGGAAGGCTTACACGCCGCTGAGGGAGAGCTGAAGGGTGGAGGGAGGAAGGTAAGGGAGAGAGGGAGCGGGAGATGAAGCGGGGGATCATTTGGGCAATAAAACCAGGCCGAAAGCTCCGGCTGAGGCTCTGAGAGCTGAAAAGAAGGCAAAGGTGGGCAGAAAGACAGGCGGGCGGGCAGACGGGTGGGGAGAGCGGGCGGGCGGCCAAGCAGGCAGGTATTCAAATAGGCAGGCAAACAGGCAGCTATCACAAGTCCTCCGTGGTTGCAGGTGATGACCTTGGCCGTGATTGTTGTGCGCTCGGCTCACTCACTGCCTGCTGATGCAAGGCTGGAAGCAAGGCCTGATGCGAGAATCACAACAAGGCAGGCGGGCAAGCAGGCAGGGAGCCAGGGAGGCAAGAGATTACCACGAGTCCGCCGTGGTTGCAGGTGATGACCTTGGCCGTGACTGTTGTGCGCTCACTCACTGCCTGCTGTATCGCCTTCTCCTCCTGCCACGTGCCATGAAAACGAAAAACAAACACGAAAATCAGCACGAGCATGAACATGGATGGTGGATGCAATATTTTGTGGTGAATGGAGTGATGGAGGGGTAGAAGAGGGGAGATTATCACAGGATGGGTAAAGACGATGAAGGGCACAATTCAGAGGGTATAAGTGCATGTTACCTCAGAGGCCCCACAATTTAACGCCCGTCAGCAGATCATCATTGCTCAGAGCAGTATAAGTAGGGTCGAAGCGGGGTATAAGCGGGGTATAAGCGGGGAACAGGTTTACCTCAGGAGAAGTATTGAGACCCCATAGTTTAATGCCCGTCAGCAGATCATCACTGCTAGGGGAATCAGCAGCAGCACTTAGCGAAGTGGTATCAGAACCAGCACTATCAGCAGCGGAAGAGGCAGTGGCAGTGGTGGGAGCAGCAACAGCAGCAGCAGCAGCAGCAGCGGCAGGGGCAGCAGCAGCAGGAGCAGCAGCAGCAGTAGCAGCAGAAGGAGGAGCAGGAACAGCACTGGCAGGAGGAGGAGGAGCGGGGGCAGGCGAGGCGAGGAAAGGGCGTGGTTTGGGGGGGAGGGGCGGGCGGGGGGACTCAGGGCGGGTGCGGCGCAGGTCGACAGGTGGAGGGGTGACAACTGGGGGAAGGCCCTTGGGGATAGGCGACACAGCCTCTGGCTTGTTGGTTTCCACAGGCTTGGGAGGCCTGGAGTGGGGGACAGAACAGGGTTTGGGAGGGAGGAGGGTGTATGGGGGACACGGGGCGGGTGCGGCGCAGGTCTACAGGTGGAGGGGTGACGACGGGGGGAAGGCCCTTGGGAATAGGCGACACAGCCTCAGGCTTGTTGGTTTCCACAGGCTTGGGAGGCCTGGAGTGGGGGACAGAACAGGGTTTGGGAGGGAGGAGGGTGTATGGGGGACACGGGGCGGGTGCGGCGCAGGTCTACAGGTGGAGGGGTGACGACGGGGGGAAGGCCCTTGGGAATAGGCGACACAGCCTCAGGCTTGTTGGTTTCCACAGGCTTGGGAGGCCTGGAGTGGGGGACAGAACAGGGTTTGGGAGGGAGGAGGGTGTATGGGGGACACGGGGCGGGTGCGGCGCAGGTCTACAGGTGGAGGGGTGACGACGGGGGGAAGGCCCTTGGGAATAGGCGACACAGCCTCAGGCTTGTTGGTTTCCACAGGCTTGGGAGGCCTGGAGTGGGGGACAGAACAGGGTTTGGGAGGGAGGAGGGTGTATGGGGGACACGGGGCGGGTGCGGCGCAGGTCTACAGGTGGAGGGGTGACGACGGGGGGAAGGCCCTTGGGAATAGGCGACACAGCCTCAGGCTTGTTGGTTTCCACAGGCTTGGGAGGCCTGGAGTGGGGGACAGAACAGGGTTTGGGAGGGAGGAGGGTGTATGGGGGACACGGGGCGGGTGCGGCGCAGGTCTACAGGTGGAGGGGTGACGACGGGGGGAAGGCCCTTGGGAATAGGCGACACAGCCTCAGGCTTGTTGGTTTCCACAGGCTTGGGAGGCCTGGAGTGGGGGACAGAACATGGTTTGGGAGGGAGGAGGGTGTATGGGGGACACGGGGCGGGTGCGGCGCAGGTCTACAGGTGGAGGGGTGACAACTGGGGGAAGGCCCTTGGGGATAGGCGACACAGCCTCTGGCTTGTTGGTTTCCACAGGCTTGGGAGGCCTGGAGTGGGGGACAGAACAGGGTTTGGGAGGGAGGAGGGTGTATGGGGGACACGGGGCGGGTGCGGCGCAGGTCTACAGGTGGAGGGGTGACGACGGGGGGAAGACCCTTGGGAATGGGCGTCACAGCCTGGGGATTGTTGGATTCAACAGACTCGAACGGGCTGAAGTGGGGGACGGGGTTGAGGGGGTGGGGGAGAGAGGGGAGGGGTAAGAGTGTGCGGCGCAGGTCAACAGGCGGAGGGGTGACGACGGGGGGAAGGCCCTTGGGGTAGGGGCCACAGCCCGTGTCTTGTTGGCTTGCACAGGCCTGGGATGGTTGGAGTACAACTGGGATGCGTGGGGATGGGTGGGGATCAGGGGGGAGAGGGGAAGGGGTCGAATCAGGACTAACGGATCAAGGTTGAGAGGTGTGACAACAGGGGGAAGGCCCTTGGGGATAGGAGTCACTCCTTGGGCCGTCTGCCACTCGGAGAATGGTAGGGGGGCGGGGGGGTGGGTGGGTGGGTGGGGGGGGTGGTTGTGAGAGGGGTTTGCCCACCGTTTCTCTAGGACAACTTAAGGTTCAGCTTCGGCAGCAGCAGCTGCAGCAGCAGAAGGCTGAGGGGCCGCTTTTTGAGCCGTCAAAAACAAAAGGGACGACTTTTGAGTCGACCCAGAACTCGGAGAATTGGGGGGGGGAGAGGACAGGGGGGGTCGTGCGTACCGTTTCTCGAGGGCCTCTTCAGATTCAGCTTCTGCAGCAGCAGCGGCAGCAGCAGCAGCAGCAGCGGCAACGGCAACAGGTGAAGGGGATGGCTTCAGCAGGGCTGCTTGCCTCCTCTCTCTCGCCTCCTCCCGCCGCACTGCCTCCTGCACTGTCGCAGACCACTCCCCTGCTGCCGGATCTTCCCTATCACCAGCAACGTTAGTAGCAACGTTGGCAGCAGCAGCAGTCTTGACAGTCGCAGCAGCGTTTTGTGGGCGTGCAGGGGCCTTCGTTACAGTCACTCTCTTCACTTCCACCTTTTGCACTGGGGCCACCATCTCTCCTTCACCCTCTCCTCTCGCTGCTCCGGCTGCAGTTGCTGCCGCTCCTGCCGCTCCTGCTGCTCCTGCTACTCCTGCTGCTGCAATCTCTCCTCCAGCGTCCTTGCTAGTCATTTGAGTCGACTCATCAATCCCAGTATCCTTTCCCCCCACAGGCTTCTGTAACGCCGGCAGGACTTGCTCCCTCTCCTTCTCCTCTTTCTTCTTCGTCTTCCCCTCCACGCCTGTGCCAGAAGGAACCCTGCTCGCCTCTATCGCACTTACAGCCCCCCCTGACCCCACAGGCCTCTGCAACGCTGGCAGGACTTGCTCCCTCTCCCTCTCCCCCACCTCCACCTCTTTTGCCTTCGAGTTCCCATCAATTTTCTCCCTCTTCACGCCCTTCGCAAGCTCCCTGCTTGCCTCTACCGCACTCAAATCCCCGCCTGTCCCCACAGGCCTCTGTAATGCCGGCAGGACGACTTCCCTTTCTTCTGTCTTCTTCCTCTCCCCTTCCACGCCTTTGTCAACCACTGTGCTGCTCGCCTCTGCTGCACGCACAGACCCTGCTGGCCTGTTCAACACTGGCATGACCTCTACCCTCTCCTGCTTCTCCTCCTCCTTCTTTGCCTGCTTCCTCTCCCCTTCCACGCCCTTATCAACCACCGTGCTTGCCGCAGCCGCTCTCACAGCCCGCACAGACCCTGCTGGCCTCTGCAACGCCGGCATGAACTCTTCCCTCTCCTCTTTCTCCTTCTTCGCCTTTCCTCCCATCATCTCCCCTTGCACGCCCGTGTCAGAGGAAACCTTGCTCGCCTCTGCCGCACTCGTGGGCCGCCCAGACCCCACTGGCCTCTGTAACGCCGGCAAAACTTCCTCCCTCTCCTCTTTCTCCTTCTTCGCCCTTCCTCCCGTCGTCTCTCCAGCCTGCACGCCCTTGTCAGAGGAAACCTTGCTCGCCTCCCCCGCACTCACAAACCGCCCAGACCCCGCTGGCCTCTGTAACGCTGGCAAAACCTCCTCTCTTTCCTCCTCCTTCTCCTTCACTTTCACTCCCTTATCAGACTCCCCGTTTGCCACTGCCGCACTCACGAACCGCCCAGACCCCGCTGGCCTCTGTAACACTGGCAAAACTTGCTCCCTCTCCTCCTCCTCCTTCTTCGCCTTTCCTCCCACCGTCTCCCCTGGCACGCCCTTGTCAGAAACCTTGCTCGGCTCTGCCGCAATCACAGGCCCCCTCGACCCCACAGGCCTCTGCAACACTGGCATCACCTCTTCCCTCTCCTCCTCCTCCTTCGCCTTTCCTCCCACCTTCTCCCCTGGCACGCCCTTGTCAGAGGAAACCTTGCTCGCCTCTGCCGCACTCACAAACCGCCCAGACCCTGCTGGCCTCTGTAACACCGGCAGAACTTGCTCCCTCTCCTCTTCCTTCTCCTTCACTTTCACGCCCTTATCGGACTCCCCGGTTGCCTCCCCCGCACTCACAAACCGCCCAGACCCTGCTGGCCTCTGTAACACCGGCAAAACTTCCTCCCTCGCCTCTTCCTTCCCCCTCACTTTCACGCCCTTATCGGACTCCCCGGTTGCCTCCCCCGCACTCACGAACCTCCCAGACCCTGCTGGCCTCTGTAACGCCGGCAAAACTTCCTCCCTCTCCTCTTCCTCCTTCCCCTCCTTCTCCTTGTCTTTCCTGTTCTCCCCCTCCTTCTCCTCCTGCTCCGTTTTCTCCCCTACACCCTTCCCCTGTGTGCCTGCCTTAGCGCCTGCTGCCCCTGCCAGTGTGGGTCGTCTGGGTGGTGGGGTCAGTGGTGCTACTGGTGCTGCTGATGATGATAATGCTGATGCTGATAATGCTGCTGATGATGATGATGATAATGCTGATGCTGATAATGCTGCTGATGATGATGATGATAATGCTGATGCTGATAATGCTGCTGATGATGATGATGATGATAATGATGATGCTGCCACTCCCCCAGTCTCCCCCTTTCCCCTATCTCCCTTCCTCTGCACTTTAACTGGTTCTATAATCTCAGCCACCCCTCTAAATTCCGGGGGAAGCGTGTCTTTAACCCCGCCCTCTCCATACATCTGGGACGGCCGTACCGCCCGAATCACAACCGGGGCTGCAGCGGGCCGGGCGGCAGGGCGGGTGCTTTTGTCCGTTTGTGAAGTTGCACCGGGAGGGAGGGATTGGGCGGCGGCTCGGGCTGGGTGGCTGGGCGGCGCAACAAGGGGCGGGGCGGGTCTCTTCGGCTTCTCAGGGCGGGTTACAGTTCCGGCGTCGGAAGATGAAACGCCAGATGAAACCGGAGATGTAACGGGGGAACTACCAGCTCCAGGGGAAACCACCCCGGAGGAAGCTTCTGTGCTCCTTCCTCCCCCGGTTCCTGCCGCCCGTGCCGCCCGGGCCTGCATGCGAGCGCGCTCCATGTCCTCCACCTCCGCCCACAGCTGCTCCACTAGCTGCCGAACGTCGCCGCCCATGCGCTTCACGCGCTGCTGCACGCGCTCGCCCGCGGACAGCTGGTTGAGGTCCGGGTACAGGCGCATGAGCAGGAGCTGGGGATGGGGGAGGGGGGAGGGGGGAGGCGGGGGGAGCGGGGGAGGGGAGGGGGAAGGGGAGGAAAGGAGGGAGTGGGAGGGGAGGATGATGGCGGAAGTAAAGGCGCTGCTTTGAGCGAACCCCCCCGGACAACTCGTTGGGGTCCGGATAGAGGTGCATGAGGAGGAGCTGGGGGGAGGGAAATGTAGGGGGGGGGGAGGGGAGGAGTGGGCAATAAAAGACAGGGGCACTGCGGACCGGGGTTCGGGGTTTTAGCGGGAAACGTCCAACCCTGTTCCTGCGTGTTCGAGAGCACGCACGGCTTGGGGTTTTCCCTCGCGTGCACAAACCTTGGCCGTTGACAACCCACCTGCGCCTCGGTATTCACAACCCACCTGCGCCTCGTTTTTTCACAACCCACCTGCGCCTCGGTTTTCTCCATGTCGTCGCCCATCTGGCTCGCAAACGACAGCGCGAATCGCTCCGACGGTTCCCATCGCCGCCGCCATTCCCCCGCCGATCCGTCCGCCGGCGGCGGCTGCTGCGGCGCGCCTGCTGCGGCTCGCGCGGGATTCGCGCGAGTCGTCCGTTGGCGCCGCGGTGCTGACGATTCTTGCGCAGGACGGGACACGTGTCGTCTGCCGATTGGCCCGCGAAGCAAGGGCCGGCCGAAAAATGCCGCACGTGGAACGATAGACGGAGAGCCATGGATTTGGCGTGGATTAACTAACGAGGACGGATTAAGAAGCAAGGATCGACTGGGGAGGCTGGAAATCGTGGCGGCGGAAGCGCGGATCCTTACTAAGTCGAGCGCGGTTCCGGAATGTAGGCATCGGGAGGTGAACGAAGCGCGTTCTAGACCGGCGGAAGGAGCCATCGCTACGGCTTCAGCGTGAGAACGCCACGCGTTCTAGATAGCACCTCCGCGTCGCAACCGCCTGCACCGCTAGTTAACTACTGACTGCTCTAACGACTGACCAGTTTGTGGTCCGTGTTGCCCAGAACTAGCTTCCCTGGACCATGGCATTCCTACCTGGAAAAGAGTACGCGATAGAAGCAGCTCCGAAATCAGTCAAGAAAAGGTGCTTTGCATGTGTTTCTGTTGGCAAATTGTATCGTGGAAAACTGATGATTTTGTGCTGCCACGTCCCCTCGCTCTCACGTTTATCCACGTCATGGAAGCCTCTTATGTGGTGGCTATCTGTTGATGGATGCCCCAACGAATCACGTGCTAGAGGCTCATTCGCTACGGAACATAGCGTTTTTGTCATGCTGATTGTCATAAAACACTGGCTCGCCTCACTTGCACAGGTTTGAAAGCACCACCTCACCTGCACCTTCCCATTGCCATCGCAACCAGGATGTTGGCGAGCTTCGCGCATGCCTCGCGAAATTCAAGTGCGAGGCTGCGTGCTGCATGTTTGCGTGCTTGCCTGGGCTACAAACCGCGTCGCACTTGAAATGCAAGAACGAATCAGCAGCAGCAATCCAGACGCGGCACGGTGCTCCCTCCCCCTTCCCCCATGTCTGAGGAGAAATTCGCCCTTCCCCTTTTCTTCCAACCAAGCCTCTCCCCCTTCCTCCCAGCTGCGCCAGGTCGCTTCTTCCCTTGCAGCCGCTCCGCCGCGCCACTCGCTCCCCCCACTCCCCCGAGCCGACCGCCCCAGCTGTTGAGATGGGCGTTGTGGTTTGGTTGGGCTAGCTTCTTCAAACAGCACAGCCGCAAATGCAAGGCGCCATTTCGGATTTCTTGAATACTCCTTATTCGTACTCGTCACCTCGTCGTCATCCTCCGAGCTAAGTTACTCTCTCTGCCTAAGTGAATCAGCATTACTGACGCCGCCGCATTTTTATCTCCAATAATATACGACGAGTTTTGATCGTTATATAATACATTCTTTCTACAAGCGACGGCCAGTATGGAGAAGATGTTCGGACTGCTCCAGGTGGACCAATCAACGGTGGCCATGGTGGAGCATTTCGGGCGGTTCGTGAAGGCGCTCGACCCAGGCTGTCACTGCGTGCCGTGGTGCTGCTGCTACCGCCCCGCGGGGCTCATGAGCCAGCGCGTGCGCCAACTCGACGTGCGCTGCGAAACGAAAACCAAGGTGAGGCTGGTAACCGTTATGCCTCGGTGCGTTCGAGAGAGGGGAGGTTGGGGGAAGGGGAAGAGGGCTGCCACTGCGTGCAGTGGTGCTGCTGCTACCGTCCCGCGGGGCTCATGTCATGAACCTCCGCGCCAACTCGACGTGCGAAACCAAAACCAAGGCTTGACCAACATTCTATCTTCAAGAACCACGCGTTGCTCGACCGTTAAAGCCGCGTGTAACGTCCGCGTGCACGCCTGAGAAACGGCCCCTCCTGTGATGACTTTTGAGGCGCCTCAAAAGTCGTCCGCGTGCACGCGTGAGAAATGGCCCCTCCTGTGATTCCCTGTCCCCCATCTTTGCTTCTCTTCGTGTCGCCCTTCATGATAGCACCCACCCTTCATTTGAGTGTTTCGCTTTCCGACTTCAGGACAACGTGTTCGTGACAGGTGGTGGCGTTGATACGGTACCAGGCAACTTGCTAGCAGATAGAGGACGCATTCCACAAGCTGCAGGACCCTTAGCACTGTTTTGTCTTTCCCCTTCATATCCGTTTTTGGCTTCCCCGCTTCAGGACAACGTGTTCGTCACTGTAGTCGCGTCGATACAGTACCAGGCGATTCGCGAACAGATCGAGGACGCCTTCTACAAGCTGCAGGACCCACAGGCGCAGATCCGATCGTACGTCTTCGACGGTGAGTGCTGCAGGTTGCGCGCGGATCTCAAAAGCTAGCGCATTGCGTGAGGATACATCTCGATTCGATTTATTTGGACAGACTAGCTGTTGGCAGCAGTGGTGCGCACGAGCGCACGAGCAGCAGTGTTTTTGAGGTGAAAAACGTTATTCAAGTTCCTAATCTCTGTTCCCCAAGATGCATCTGAACCGTGTATTTTCAGTTGACGAACGAGATCGCCCGTCCTTTCCCCCTCCAACTCCATCCTTCCCCTTTCCCTTTCCTCCCTATCCTTTCTCCCCACCACAGTGGTGCGTGCAAGTGTGCCCAAGATGGATCTGGACCGTGGGTTTGAGGTGAAGAACGAGATTGCCTATCCCTCCCCTCCCCTCCATTTTTTCCTTTCCCCTTTTCCTCCCTCTGCTTTGTCCTTTCTGCAGTGGTGCGCGCGAGTGTGCCCAAGATGGATCTGGACCGTGTATTTGAGGTGAAGAACGAGATCGCTCATACAGTGGAGGAGGAGCTCGAGAAGGTGAGGGGAAGGTGGGGGTGGGGTGGGGCGTGAGTGGAGGTGTGGGGAGGGAGCCGTGGAGATGGGAGGAGGTGAAGAACGAGATCACTCATACAGTGGAGTGGAGCAGGAGCTCGAGAAGGTGAGGGGAAGAATGAAACCACTCATCTATGTGTGCCACTTGCTCTCGGAGTTGAGAAGGAATGCGTTTGAATCAAGTGTGTAAATGGAAGTCGTGAAACAAATTGTCTTCTCTCTTTCATGCGCATTTCCCCCCCCCCTTCATAAAACCACGGTTGTAACGAACGAGCAGGCAATGAGGACGTACGGTTACCGCATCGTGCAGACGCTGATAGTGGATGTGGAGCCGGACCATCGAGTGAAGGCTGCCATGAACGAGATCAATGCAGGTGAGGGTGCAGATTATGTAAGCGGCAAAATGTAAATGTGCATGTGGAGATGGAATGTGGATGTGAAGCTGGGACATATGTGATCGTGCAAACGTTGATAGTGGATGTGGAGCCGGACCATCGAGTCAAGGCCGCCATGAACGAGATCAATGCAGGTAAGAGTGTGGTGTGGGTAATGTATGTGGCAAGATGTGATTGTGCATGTGGAGCGGGCCGTATGTATGTGAATGTGCATGGGGTGGTGCAGACGTTGATAGTGGATGTGGAGCCGGACCATCGAGTCAAGGCTGCCATGAACGAGATTAATGCCGGTAAGAGTGGGGTGTAGGTAATGTATGTGGCAAGATGTGATTGTGCATGTGGTTGTGGAAATTGTATGTGAAGCGGGACGGACGAATGTGGGATGAACATGTTGTGCAAACAAACCCTGATAATGGACGTCGAGCTGGATAATCGAGTCAAGGCCGCCATGAACGAGATCAGTGCAGGTGAGATGGTATCTAATGTACAGTACAAACATATATTTGCCATATGTGTGTCGAATGGTTTTACGCATGCGGATGCGGATGTGCATGAGGCGTATAAGCGCTCGTTTTTTGGTGTAGGTGAAGATTATGCATGCAGTGAGCACCTATTTCCGTCCGCTGTTGTTCCGCTGTTGTGTTCACTTACTCCAACGGTCCTTTCATTGATATAGGTGGCAGTATACATGCATGGTGTTAGTATACGAAACTTTCAGATACACCAGCTCCATTCCCCAATCCTCACTCACATTGCTTTCTTTCATCCTCATTCACACCGTATTCCCCAATCCTCACTCACATTGCTTTCTATAATCCTCATTCACACCTTATTCCCCAATCCTCCCTGCAGCCCAGCGTATCCGCATGGCCACACAGGAGAGAGCAGAAGCAGAGAAAATCCTGCAGGTAATACAATAAGTCCATTGTATCACTTTCTACCACCCTTTTCCCACTTTCTTCCCACTTCGCTGCACGTTTCTCTGTTCCTCAAACTTTGCCCACACTTGCCAAGAATGAAATATCTGTGGCTCAGATCTGACTGCCCGCCTAATCGTGTGAGTCAGCCAGCAGGTTATGCTGTAATAATAAGAACCCTTTCGTTGGTTTGATTTGTGCGACAGGTGAAGAAGGCGGAAGGAGAGGCAGAGGCGAAGTACCTTGCGGGGGTGGGCGTGGCGAGACAGAGACAGGTGAGAGAACACAGAGACAGGTGAGAGAACACACCTCAAATGATCTCAGGCGCTTCAAAAGGTGTCCTAAGGGGCAGTGTGATTGACAGCAGCAGACCTTGCCTCACTGCCATTCTCATCATCTCTGTGCCTTCACTCGTCTTCTCTTCCCCTACCCTACTTGAGTCGTGTTTTGAGTCGACTCAAAACACGACTCATTCTCATCATCTCTGTGCCTTTACTCGTCTTCTACCTGCCATGCCATTCTCATCATCCCCTACCCTACATGCCCTCTTCCCCCTGCCAGGCCATAGTGGAGGGGCTGAGGGACAGCGTGCTGGGCTTCTCAGATCAAGTGCCTTGAGATGCTGCGAGTCTTACTCCTCTTCTCATCCCCTCCCCTCCCCACCCTCCGTCCCCCCATCCCCTACCCTACCTGCCCTCTTCCCCCAGGCAATAGTGGAGGGGCTAAGGGACAGCGTGCTGGGCTTCTCAGAACAAGTGCCTTGAGACGCTGCGAGTCTTACTCCTCTTCTCACCCCCTCCCCTCCCCACCCTCCGTCCCCCCATCCCCCTCCTCGCCCCTCCTCAGGCCATAGTGGAGGGGCGAAGGGACAGCGTTCTGGGCTTCTCGGAGCAAGTGTTTTGAGACGCTGAGAGTATTCCTGTTCTCACCCCCTCCCCCCTCCAAATCCCCCCGACAACCCCCCTCTCAGGCCATAGTGGAGGGGCTCAGGGACAGTGTTCTGGGCTTCTCAGAGCAAGTACCCGGCTCCACACCCAAAGACGTGCTATGCTTCTCGCTGCGCCTGTCCTACACTCCTCAACCCCTGCCTTTACCTGCACTGCACGCTCTCCCTCCTCTTCCCCCCCCCCAGGCAATTGTGGAGGGGCTGAGGGACAGTGTTCTGGGCTTCTCAGAGCAAGTGCCTCAAGGCGCTGCAAGTGCCATCCCTGTTCTCACTCCCCCCTTCTCCCCCCCACACCACACCCCTCCCATCAGGCCATAGTGGAGGGGCTAAGCGACAGCGTGCTGGGCTTCTCAGAGCAAGTGCCTTGAGATGCTGCGAGTCTTACTCCTCTTCTCACCCCCTCCCCTCCCCACCCTCCGTCCCCCCATCCGCCCCCTGCCCCCACCTCTCTCCGTCCTCGCCCCTCCTCAGGCCATAGTGGAGGGGCTGAGGGACAGCGTGCTGGGCTTCTCAGAGAAAGTGCCAGGCACCACGCCCAAGGACGTGCTTGACATGGTGAGAGGCTGGTGGTGGATGTGGTGTGGTGAGTGGGATGATTGGGATAGCGGAGAAGGTGGAGGGGAATGATGAGCGAGTGTGCCAGGCACCACGCCCAAGGACGTGCTTGACATGGTGAGAGGCTGGTGGTGGATGTGGTGTGGTGAGTGGGATGATTGGGATAGCGGAGAAGGTGGAGGGGAATGATGAGCGAGTGTGCCAGGCACCACGCCCAAGGACGTGCTTGACATGGTGAGAGGCTGGTGGTGGATGTGGTGTGGTGAGTGGGATTGGGATAGCGGAGAAGGTGGAGGGGAATGATGAGCGAGTGTGCCAGGCACCACGCCCAAGGACGTGCTTGACATGGTGAGAGGCTGGTGGTGGATGTGGTGTGGTGAGTGGGATGATTGGGATAGCGGGGAAGGTGGAGGGGAATGATGAGCGAGTGTGCCAGGCACCACGCCCAAGGACGTGCTTGACATGGTGAGAGGCTGGTGGTGGATGTGGTGTGGTGAGTGGGATGATTGGGATAGCGGAGAAGGTGGAGGGGAATGATGAGCGAGTGTGCCCGGCACCACGCCCAAGGACGTGCTGGACATGGTGAGAGGGTGGGCGGTGGTGAGTGGGAGTGGTGCTGTGCGGTGCAGGTATGTATTGGAGAGTGCAATGGTGCAGGTTCTCGGAACAAGTGCCAGGCACCACGCCCAAGCAAGGACGTGCTGGTGCCTGGCACTTGTTAGGGGCATCGGCGCCAACAACCGGTTATGTGTATGAAGAAGTGTTTTGAGACGTCTCAAAACGTGTTGGTGCCTGGCACTTGCCTGCACCATTGCACTATCCAGTAGGGACATCGGCTCCAACAACCGGTTATGCTCCCTCATCATCCTCTTGCTGCTGTTTTCGTCCTCTCCCCTCAACTCAGGTCAAGTTGACACCCCCACCTCTCCCCACCCCAACCTTTCCCACACAGGTCATGTTGACGCAGTATTTCGACACCATGAGGGACATCGGAGCCAACAACCGGTCATCCACCATCTTCGTGCCTCACGGGCCAGGCGCAGCAGCAGACATTGCCGCACAGATCAGAGATGGGATGCTGCAGAGCAATGTGACTGCCAGAAGTAACGTTTGACTTTAAGGCTTCTCATAAGGCCCCATGAGCGGGGGGGGGGGGGGGGGCAATGGCGGACACCGATGCCCAGATCGGGGAAGGGTTGCTGCAGAGCACTGTTGGTGCTAGAAGGAATGCGTAACTTCGCTGCGGCTGTAAGAGGTCGCGGATCAGGAGGAGAAGGAATGGACATTGGTACATGGGAGCTCAGATCGTAGATGGGCTGCTTCAAAGCACTGTAGCTGCTAGAGCTTATGGGTGACGGATGGTGTACAGTTACCATGTTATGGATTGGGTCTAGCCACTTGTACAGTTCAGTGCATCTGCTCTGGTGAATAAAGGTTAGCTTTGTGGGTGGGTTGCCATTGCTTTTATTCATCACCTTTTCAGTTACTGATTTGATGTAACAAACATGGCAAGTGTGAAGAGGATGTAGCGTGACAGTGGCCAAAATGTAGATGAACTTTGCAAACAAAATCTCACGCGAGGCGCGAAGTGTTGTCGTCATTTGCGTACATTTGAATGGAAAAACACATCGTGGTGTTCTTCCTTTTGTTTATTTGCCAGTTTACTTATACAGAACTGTATTGCTTCGTTTGTTTTCCCATTCACAGATTCTATTGAAGTCAGCAAATTCCAGGAGCTTATTGCGGATCACTGCACCCTAAACGTCGTCTCGCACAAATGCGGATAGGTTTGACGCTAGAGGAACACGGCCTTGCCAGAGCTCCAAGTCCAGTTTTAGCTCACCATTCATGCTGACTACTAGAGCCCCATACTTGAAGGAACTGTGTACCGTATTTGTCGACCCTCGAACTGTAAAAAGGCACCGTAAGTCCTGTCCTGTTCGAGTTGTCGCCCGCAAACTCGTCTGTCTCGGCGAACACGAACGTGTTCCAGTCTGTGGAACGCTGATTGTCGCCTGAGTCGCGAATTCTCGTTAACAAGCGCTGGCAGTCGCTGCGAGTAACTCTGACTCGCTCCTCTGTAGTCGCACAGCGAAATTCGCCAGCATTAATTCTGCGACTTGAGTTGCGAACCTCACAGACCGTCGCCCGTCTCGTCGTCACGATGCCGCCACTGTCGCATCTCCCCTTCACCATATCGCCTGACGCACTGCAAATTCTCCGATCGCACCGCATAGCCACGCGTAAGCTGGTTCATTTTCTATTTCTTCCTTTACGTTTCTCCCCCTCCCGTCTCCCTTTCCGTTCCTTCCTTGTCTCAGTAAAAAATCTCCCTCAACCTCCCTTCCTTCACTCATCTTCTCCCTCTACTTTCCGTCTGCCTTCTTACGTTCATCATCCTTCCATATATCCTGCCTTCTGCGCTTCTATCCACATGCATGGTGCATGCACCCATCATGCGTACATGCTTGGAGGATGGTTGGTGCGTGTATGTGTGCACGGTTCTTTCGTGCGTACATGCTTGGAAGATGGGTCATGGATCGTGTATGCATGCATGGTGGGGGAGTGTGTGGAGTGGAGCACGGGAGGATTTCATAATGGCAGATTCTCGCATTCTTCGTTCGGAGGGTGGTTTGCTTTGTGTGTGCATGGGGGAGTGGGGGGAGGGGGGGGTTGTGGTGCATGGCTCTTGCTTGCGTGCATGCTCGGGGGGTGTGCAAGGCTGTGGAGGATTTCATAATGGCGGATGCTCGCATGCTTCGGAGAGTGGTTTGGTTTTCGTTCATGAAGTGAAGATGTTTTCCCTCTTCTTACCCTCGCGTCCCCTTGCGTGCCCGGGGGGGGAGAGGAGGGGGGGGGGGGGGGGGGAGGGTGTGATGCATGGTGCTTGCATGCGTGTGTGCTCGGGGGGTGCATGCATGCTTGGGGGGTGCATGCATGCTTGGGGGGTGCATGCATGCTGGGGGGGTGCATGCATGCTTGGGGGATGCATGCATGCTTGGGGGATGCATGAAGTGGAGCAGTGGAGGATTTCATTATGGCGGATGCTCGCATGCTTCGCAGGGACCTGGAGGGCATGCCGCATGGCCAAGCCAAAGAGGACGTTTTGCAGGTGATGATAGTGATGGTGGCGATGATAGGGTTAGGCGCAGGGATGTGTTACCTTTAGAGGGATGTGGAGGGCATGGCACATGGCTGGGTCGAAGAGAATGTTTTACAGGTGATGGTGGTGATGCTGATGGTAGTGGTGATGATGATGGTGATAGGGGACATTCAAATGCATTTATGTGTGGACGCACCTATGTGGGCGTCACATTGCTGTTAGGTGCGTTGCAAGCAAGTTCTCCTTGGCATGGATGTGCATGGATGCGCATGGATGTGCATGGATGTGCATGGATGTGCATGGATGTGCGTGGATGTGCATGGATGTGCATGGATGTGCGTGGATGTGCATGGATGTGCATGGATGTGCATGGATGTGCATGCATGTGCATGGATATGCTTGGATGTGCATGCATGTGCATGGATATGCTTGGATGTGCGTGGATGTGCATGGATGTGCATGCATGTGCATGGGTGGATGTGGGCCATCCCATCCCATGGCAGGCTATAGACAACCTGAATGACCACATGGTGCATGCCATGTGCATGCCTGCACATGCCAGTGGGGACCAGCTCCTGAGGAACCTGCACTGGGAGGGCTTGAGCCAGGAGAACATTTCTGGGCGGCAGCAGGCACAAGGGCAGGGGAGATTCGTAGAAGAGGAAGAAGGGGCGAAGTGGCATCACAGGGGAGAGGCATTGCAGGAGCAGTGGCAAGAGGGCGATGGTGGTGGTGGTGGGAGGCAGTGGCGAGCTGCTACGATCAGCACAGGGTGCTCCAGGTGAGGCTTGAACCAGGATAACATTTCTGGGCAGCAGGCACAAGGGCAGGGGCGACTCGTAGACGAGAAAGAAGAGGCGAGGTGGCATCACAGGGGAGAGCCATTGCAGGAGAAGTGGCAAGAGGGCGGTGGTGGTGGTGGTGGTGGGAGGCAGTGGAGAGCTGCTACGATCAGCACGGGGTGCTCCAGGTGAGCCTGTGGTTCCGTGTGGTGCTGTGCGGTTAGAATTAGCGCTGCTGGTATTCGGAACCCAAGCTCACCCACCCCTATGTGACTGTGTGCCCCCCAATCGACTCTATGACGTCCCATCCATCCAGTCTCGACTCTCTGCTGGGCGGTGGCCTGCCCCTGGCTGCAGTGACTGAGATCACTGGCGCTGCTGGTGCAGGCAAGACGCAGGTGAGTGGGGCGACTAGAAGCTACAGAATGTTGAGAAAATCCGTCAGGGAAAACTCCTTTCAGTAGCGACGTGACTTTTGAGTCGACTCAAAAGTCACCTTGTCGACTCAAGAGTCGACTCAAAAGTCACCAGGTGAGTGGGGCCACTAGAAGCTAGAGAATGTTGAGGAAACCCGTCAGGGAACACTCCCTTTCAGTAGCGACGGACCGTGATGGGGGACCAACGGGAATGGGTGTGTGGTGTTGGGTGGGGAGGGAAGGTGTGTGGGGATAATGAAGAACGTGGGTGTGCTGTGCGGAAACGGGCGTTGTCGGTGGGAAACTCGGGGTGGGCGAGGCCTGGGCGAGACCTGTTGGAGAAAACATAAGGGGGGGAAACACATGGTTTGATGGCAGATGGTGATGACAGCTGTCCGTCCTATGTAGCACAATCTCTCCTCCCTTGTGACAGCCGTTGAGCGTAACACACACGTGGGGACGCTCGTCCATCCCTCCTCCCACCTGTCTCCACCCGTTTCCCTCTCGCTCTCCCTCTCCCTCTCCAAACCCCCCACCCCCCCAGTTCTGTCTGCAAGCCGCGGCAGTAGCTGCAATTGCCCCACTGCTCGCCCATCCCAGTCCTTTCAAATCCTCTCAAACAGAACACAGCTCTCTAACTCAACACAGCTCAGCCACTCAAGGCAGCGCGCCGCCCGGCACAGGGTCGGCAGTGCCGCCCGGTGTACAGTCAACACCAGTGCCGGCCAGTACAGGGTCTGCAGTGCCGCCCAGCACAGGGTCGACGGTGGCGTTTGTGGATACGGCTGGGAGCTTCTCTGCTGCTCGCATCGCCACCGTGATTGGGCGAATGATGGGGTCGAGAGAGAGGTGCCAGGTGAGGTTGGAGGTGGGGGGCGGGAGGGAGTGAGGTGTGGGTGTGGGCGTGTGCGGCCAAGACAGTCTACACAGCGCACATCTCTCCCATCCAATCATCAATGCTACTCGCAGCTTCTCGGCTGCCCGCGTCGCCACTGTGATCGGGCGAATGATGGGGTCCAGGGAGAGGTGCCACGTGAGGTTGGAGGTTGGGGGAGGGGGAGAAGAGGGGGGTCAAGACATGTGCAGTCCACACACAGCGCACGTGACATGTGTGGCAGCTTCTCTGCTGCTCGCATTGCCACTGTGATTGGCCGAATGATGGGGTCGAGGGAGAGATGCCAGGTGAGGCGCGAGCATTGGGAAGGGAGGAGGTGCGAGTGTCTGTGTCCAATGCAGTCTGCATGCACCTTGCAATCCAGGCTCGCTTTCCTCTCTCTCACCCAATACATGGGGTTCGTCTCGTTGTCCTAAACTACGCGAGTTGATGGAAATAAGGCCTCCGCAGCCCACCTGTCCGTTACTGACGTGTCTGTGTCCAGTGCAGTCTGCCTGCACCCTGCAATCCAATCGTCAACGCGACTCACAGCTCCTCTCCTCCCCTCATCGCCACGGCTATTACGCATGGAGGCAGAGTGGTGTGGATGATAAGGATATGGCATGCATGCATTCATCCCTGATCTCTCATTTTTGAGTCGACTCAAAAATATGCATTCATCCCTGATCTATCAGGAATCAAGGGCCATTGTGACTCGAGCCTTGAGAAGCAGTGGTGCGGATGAAGGCATATGACATCCATCCCCGCAACCACCCACTCTCCTGCCCCTCTCAGGAATCAAGGGCCATTGTGGCTCGAGCACTGAAGGCAGTGGTGCGCATGAAGGCATATGACATCCACTCTCTACTTGCTTCCCTCCACACTCACATACCCACTCGTATGCACAAACTCTCCCTGCCTCTCAGGAATCGAGGGCCATTGTGACTCGAGCACTGAAGGCAGTGGTGCGGATGAAGGCATATGACATCCACTCACTACTTTCCCTCCTGGCAACCATTGCCCAGCACAAGAGAAAAGCCACGCAGGTAAAGCATCTGATTGGAAACGAGGAGCTTGTTTTTGCTAGTTATCTTGTCCCTGTACCTTTGAGGCGCCTCAAGAGAATAGCCACACAGGTAAAGCGTCTGATTCGAACCGAGGAGCTTGTTTCTGCCAGTTATCTTTGAGTCGACTCAAAAAAAGCATCTGATTCGAAACTAGGAGCTTGTTTCTGCTAGTTATCTTGTTCCTGTACCGTGCGTGCACTCTCCTCACCACACACACTTTCCTCGTCTCTTCTTGTTAACCGTCTGTCTCTCTTCTCGGCATCCTCCATCCTCACCTCTTATTTCTCTTCAGTTGCCAGTCACACAAGATTCAAAAGGGTCACCTAAGATTTTCTCCCCTACATTCTTAACAATCCGTTCTTACTTGCTCTCCTGGCAGTCGTCAGATTTCTTTTCCGTGCTTCGCCTGCTCATCATCGATTCTGCCTCCGCTGTTGTCTCCCCTGTGCTCGGGGGCCACGGTCCACAAGGTATACATAAGGGAGGGGCAAGGTGAGAGGAGGGGACGTGCAATCAGTAGCTAGCTAATGACATTAAGCTCAGCTCAGGTTTGATTTTTTATTTCTTTCTTTCTTTCTTTTTGTTCCCTTTTCTTTCTTCGCCGCTTATCCCGCTTCCTCACTTCCATCTCTCGTTCTGCTTGCTGTCCATTTCAGGCCATGCTCTGATGATGAGTCTCAGTCGCATGATTCGTCTGCTGGCCAATGAGTTCGGACTTGCTGTACTGGTATAATTATTGTTGTTCATTACCGTACTACACTTTGCACGTGGTTCCATATCTGTTTTTGTGTTTGTGTTCACGTGGTACCATGCACCTTTGTGTCAACTATTCGTTTCGTCAATGCTCGCAGCATGATGGATCAGGGACATGTAAGGGACATGTAGGTCGCCCGTTCAGTGTCTCTGTTGCTGTTTTCCTCTCCCACTTGCCCTCCTCTCTTCCCCTTGTTTTTCAAAATCAGATTACCAACCATTCGGTGTCAAGTGAAGATGGCACGTTCAAACCAGCTTTGGGGGAGAGCTGGAAGGTGACACCTCATGTGAGGCTTGTCTTGGATCGAGATTACGACTCGGATTACTGTCAGATCACGCTTGCGAGACACCCATCCTTGCCTGGTGGCGCATCCACAGTGGTGAAACTTGGGAAGTATGGCATTTTGCCAGCGGAAAATGGTGGATGGATTTGAGTCGGGTTTGATATCTGTTAGAAGTTCCGTCAACAAATGTACATTTGTACAAAAGGAGCAGTCCAATTTGGAACCGTCGTTTTGCTATCGAAATCCGCAATACAAGAGATTCCCCTCGATAACATTCGCCATCCTTCTGGCCCTTCACTAAATCACACGCAGGCAGCCTCGCAAGTGCGCGCATCTGGCCACATTTTCACAAGCGTCCGATTCTCGCCTATCGACGGCTAAGATTTCCTCGATCATGTCCTGCTGGATGTTCCCAAGGCTACAAGCAATCCGTGGAGTCCTTCCTCCAGTGAATGAAACTGTCAGACTCAGAAAAACTGCAAGTCTCTTGCGTTTGGAATCTCACACAAGTCGACCAAGGTCAGCTAGTTACAGCTCCTTGTAACAAACTTGGCCGTCGGTATCTGATTCAACCCGTTCCCTCGTATCGCACAAACTTGGGCTATTTTTTCATTGAAGCAGTATCTTAGCCGTTTTGTGTGTGCGTCTCCCAATGGCTGCATGTCGCCTCCACGTGTCACTCCAATGCGTGTCATCTCAAGGAGCTCACGCCTCGCTGTCTGCGCCACGTCAGCCAGCTACCGCCGGCCAATGGGCGTCAACGCCGTTCTATTCGTGGTCGACCTCGTTACACTCAGCTCCGAGAAGAGAATCTGGCGACGCATCGTCGAATCGTAGACGCCAGAGACGATTCTCGCGGCTGTCAGCTGCAGCGGCTTCGAGCGACGACGCCTCCTCACCCGGTACCGGCAGTGAAGCCGGCAGTGAAGCCGGCAACGAAGCCGACGCGCTAACGGCGGAGTTCCTGCGCTTCGTGTCGGAGACGCAGCAGCAGTGGCCGCTGGCGGACCGCCACCCGACCGCGCTGCTTGCGCCGACCGCGGTGGTGCGCGCGCAGATGGACGCGCTGATGCGCAACGACTGGCCGGAGGCGGACAGCGGGATCCAGACGGCGTTCAACTTCGCCATGCCTCATAGAGTGGACGAGATTCTGCCTGGATCGGTGAGTGTGTGCAGCAGACGGCGTTCTCGCGTTTACTTGACTATACCGCATAGAGTAGATGAGATTTTGTTGGGAAAGGTAAGATGCCCCAACAGGTGTGGATTCTACAGCCGCTTCTTTTATTTCGTGCGCCACCCCATACCAAGGAGGACCTGCTTCCCCCTCCGAGCTGCTTCCCCCTCCGAGCTGCTTTCCCCTCAGACCTGCTTCCCCCTCCGAGCTGCTTTCCCCTCAGACCTGCTTCCCCCTCCGAGCTGCTTTCCCCTCAGACCTGCTTCCCCCTCCGAGCTGCTTTCCCCTCAGACCTGCTTCCCCCTCCGAGCTGCTTTCCCCTCAGACCTGCTTCCCCCTCCGAGCTGCTTTCCCCTCAGACCTGCTTCCCCCTCCGAGCTGCTTTCCCCTCAGACCTGCTTCCCCCTCAGAGCTGCTCCCCCCCGTAGAGCTTCTTCTATAAATTCGAGGCCCCTTTTCTCATCCATCTCCCCTCAACCTCCCTCTCATACGCTCCAGGCGTGGCACGGGCGTGGGAGGCTAGTATGCGGTAAGCCTCTGTAAAAAGTCTATGGAACTTCGTCAATTACTGGTGAGTTTTGAGGCGCCTCAAAACTCACCTTTAAGCGGTAAGCCTCTGTAAAACGTCTATGGAACTCCCTCAATAACTGGTGAGTTTTGAGTTGAGGCGCCTCAAAAGTCACCTGTAAGCGGTAAGCCGCTGTAAAAGGTCTATGGAACTCCGTCAACTACTTTCTGTCATTCTTCTCGCTGCCACCCTCCATCCCTCCAGGCCCGGCCGCCAGTGAAGGAAGCACGAGCGCATCCACGCATCTCCCCCGCGCATCCACCCTCCATCCCTCCAGGCCCGGCCGCCAGTGAAGGATGCGAGGGCGGGGGGCGCCAGTGAGCGGTACCTGTCAGTGGAGGGCTGAATGTCAAGACTTCTCTCAATCACGACTGGTCATCTCCCCCACGCATCCACCCTCCATCCCCCCAGGGCCGGCCGCCAGTGAAGGAGGCACGAGCATGGGGCGCCAGTGAGCGGTACCTGTCAGTGGAGGGCTGAATGTCAAGACTTCTCTCAATCACGACTGGTCATCTCCCCCACGCATCCACCCTCCATCCCCCCAGGGCCGGCCGCCAGTGAAGGAGGCACGAGCATGGGGCGCCAGTGAGCGGTACCTGTCAGTGGAGGGCTGAATGTCAAGACTTCTCTCAATCACGACTGGTCATCTCCCCCACGCATCCACCCTCCATCCCCCCAGGGCCGGCCGCCAGTGAAGGAGGCACGAGCATGGGCGGCCAGTGAGCGGTACCTGTCAGTGGAGGGCTGAATGTCAAGACTTCTCTCAATCACGACTGGTCATCTCCCCCACGCATCCACCCTCCCATCCCTCCAGGCCCGGCCGGCCGCCAGTGAAGGAGGCGAGGGCGTGGGACGCCAGTGAGCTGAGCTGAGCGGTACCTTTTTGTGGTTCTCAGTACCTTTTAGAAAGTGACTCATCCCCCTCAGTCCCTCCAGGCCCGGCCGCCAGTGAAGGAAGCACGCGCGTGGGACGCCAGTGAGCGGTACCTGTCAGTGGAGGGCTTTAAGAAGCTGCTGCGGGAGCCCACGTACGCTGCCCTGCTGCACTGCGAGTCGTGGGAGGTGAGAAACGAGGGGCGAGAGGAGGGGCGAGAGGAGGGGCGAGAGGAGGGGCGAGAGGAGGGGCGAGAGGAGGGGCGAGAGGAGGGGCGAGAGGAGGGGCGAGAGGAGGGCCGAGAGGAGGGGCGAGAGGAGGGGCGAGAGGAGGGGCGAGAGGAGGGCCGAGAGGAGGGGCGAGAGGAGGGGCGAGAGGAGGGGCGAGAGGGGGGGCGAGAGGAGGGGCGAGAGGAGGGGCGAGAGGAGGGGCGAGAGAAGGGGCGAGAGAAGGGGCGAGAGGAGGGGCGAGAGGAGGGGCGAGAGGAGGGGCGAGAGAGGGATTGGCAGGGCATAGAAGCTGCTGCGGGAACCCACGTACGCTGCTCTGCTCTGCTGCACTGCGAGTCGTGGGAGGTGAGAAACGAGGCGAAAAAGAAGGGGGAAGAGAAGAGGGGGGGTGGAAAGGGGGGGAACGAGCCAATCAAATCCCTTTCCCACGTTTGTGTGTAACTTTCATGATAACAACACCAAGTTGTTACCATCAGTTGCGCCTGAGGTGCAAACTCGATAGCAAGGCCGGCAGCAAGGCATTGCAGGCAGGGAAGGTCGGAGGAACACAATCCTCGCACTCTGCTCATATTTCCTGGTCGTTTGCTCCCACCCACCCCCCATGCCCTTGCCTCCGTGCTGCATGGCAGTTCGCGTCCCCCATGGCGTTCCACGGCAAGGCCGACAGCAAGGCACTGCAGGCAGTGACGGTTCGAGCTGCACAAGTCTTGCACTCTGCTCATATGCACTTCTCCGGTGCGCCCCCGTTGCCTCCGTGCTGCATGGCAGTTCGCATCACCCATGGCGTTCCATGGAAAGGCGGACAGCAAGGCATTGCAGGCAGTGAAGGTTCGCGCTGCTAGGTCCACGCCCTCTCCTCGCGTGTCGTATTTCCTTACTCCAACCCACCACGACTTCCCTTGTGCTCCCATCCCATCCCATCCAGTTTGCGTCCCCCATGGCGTTCCACGGCAAGGCGGACAGCAAGGCACTGCAGGCAGTGAAGGTTCGCGCTGCTCCCACTGCTGCTGTCACTCCTTCGTCGTCTTCCGCTGCTACTGCTGTTGAAGCTGCAATGGATGGTGGTGCTGCTGATGGGGGTGCTGATGGGGGTGCGGAGCTGCTTGGGCGGACACGCGAGTATACCTACACGTTCTGCTTGCAAAAGGTGGGCTGTTGGGACGATACAGTGGTGAATGAAGGTTTATCTTATGGTTCGGATGGCGTTGCTGACGGTGGTGGGTTTTTGGGGCGGACACTAGAGTACCTACACGGTCTGACTGCAGAGGTGGGCTCATGGGGTGTTAGAATGGGTTGAAAAGGGTGATGTGCAAACCATATTATCACCTCCTCACCCCCCAGTTGACCAGAGTTTGATCAGTTTACTCAATGCCACCTCAACAAACACTAGTATGGAACGTACACCTGCAAAAGGATGGTCCGTGCAGGGACCAACGGAAGTGAGCTTTGTTGTTCTTTTAATGGTCTGACTGGTCTTGAGTCGACTCACAGGTGGGCTTTGGTATGCTTTGATGGTCTGGTTGAGTCTCGTCTTCCGCTGCTTGCAGTGTCAATTTCTTCTTTCCCCTCCGTGCTCTCTCCCCCTCTCCCTTCGCTGTATCACTCACTCACACAGGACACATGCACGGATGCGCGAGCACGCACGCATGCATGTACCCGCCCCCAACCCACCCACACACCCCCCCCCCCTCTCCTTCCCACACATACACACATGCGGGCATGCATGCAGACACGGGCGGGTGCATTTGCATCTGCCCTGCACACACACACACACACATACACACACACACACACACACACACACACACTCGCGCGTGCACAGAAGCATTATGCTTTTGCATGCCATTGGTAGTGGTCCTTGTCCCATGCTCCGTATCTCCTCATTTCACGCTCCGTATCTCCTCATTTCCACAGTCAATGCTCCGTATCTCGTGCTCCTTGCCTCGTGCTCTGCATTGGTGCTTGTGCCGCAGGTACTAGAGGGAGCCTTCAAGGGGTGCTGGATGGTGGTGGGGCTTCGTGTTGGTGACTACGCCAACGTGTGACGACTCCAGTATAGCATGCCCGCCCTTAATTGGTGACTTTTAAGTCGACTCAAAAGGCAGGTGCTAGAGGGAGCCTTCAAGGGGTGCTGGATGGTGGTGGGGCTTCGTGTTGGTGACTACGCCAACGTGTGACGACGCCAACGTGTGAAGACTGCAGTATAGCATGCCTGCCGTTTTTTGCCGTCACGTATAGTGAACCTCACGTCTCGTGCGTACCTCACGCCTCGTGCGTGTCTGTCTGAACCAAACACAGAATGAAATTATTGCTATGGTGTTCAGAATCGTACCCACATGGAAAGGCATGGTGGTGGGCAAGTACAGAGTGACAGAAGTGTGGTGGTGAGGTATGGTGAGGCATGGCTGCAGTGCAGTCACTCTCAAATCAATCACAGTCCTCACCTGATCATGACAACACATGCCTGCAAAGAACACTGGGCAGCTGGAGCAGTTGGTTGGTTACGAACTACACCTCTCGCAGGTGTGAACAAGGCTGAGACTCTGATGGCACAACAGACAGAGCACTTCCTTTTCAGCAAGGAGCAGGCTTTTCATGTCAAACTATAATTTTACTTGTGTTTGATTAGCTACGGCGAGGTACAATGTATACAATACAACACTTTAGGGTTGCCTGCTTGTATCTCATGCTTGCTAGTTCACGCCATTCCGCTGTTCACATTCTGAGATAGTACCAACCGTATTGGTAAGTAATGCACTTACTCTTACGGTAGTACCAACCGTATGGCAACTAACTCACTTACACTTTTCCATTCTAATGAACAATGTATGACCATGCATGGGAAACATACTGATTAGGCTTCACAAGAAGAGATAATATATCACTTTTGACTAAGGCTACCCACGCATGCTTTCCTTAGTTGCCGTAATGCTGAAACCTGCATAGTGACGCAGGCAAACATGCACATGCGTGCACACATACACATAAAGAAGAGCACTTGGCACGGTGACCACAAATGGGAAAATACACAAATGACCAGGAATGGAGGAAACACACAAACGGACGTGAGCACACCCACACCCACATCTCCATCCCCACCCACAACCACACGCACCTACACCCACACTACATCCACCCACACACACACACCCCTCTCCCCCACCTTTCCCCCCCAACACACACACACACACACCTCCAAATAAGACACCATCTTGAGGGTCATCCCCAGTGCTGCAGCAATCTGTGTACAACAGTCAGAACACAATCTGTCAGCCACTGCTCGTGGTAAATACAGTGCATCAATGGTGCATCAAATGGTGCGTCAAACCGTGCATAATATAATGCCTCAAATGGTGCCTCATACGGTGCAGTACATGGTGCATTACATGGTGCCTTATACAGTGCATTTTATAGTGCATATTATAGTGCATCAAAGAGTGCATCAAAGAGTGCATCGAATGGTGCATCGAATGGTGCACTCACCTCTTCTTGTGACACTTGGCGAGCCCCCCTCAGACCAAACCGGAGCTCCAAAATCTGCTCATGCGGGGTTTCGAAACGAGAAGGGGAATTGTTTTAGGTGCCTCAAGCATCTCCTCAGACCAAACTGGAGCTCCAGGATCTGCTCATTTGAGGTGCAAAAACGAGGGGGGCGAGGGCGGTCCGAGTCAGGGAGAGGGATGGCAAACGAGGCTGCAACGAGTGTGGGGAAGGTGCAAGAACACAAGAACACATGGCACATTTGTAGAAGCATGCAGCCACCTCTGCCCATCTGTACCCTCCTCAGCCCATCTGTACCCACCTCTACCCAACTTTCAGTCTACTAAAAAAACTATCTGTAGCTTGTCTTGGCACTAAGATACGCTGCTACTCTCTGCAGTCACACTAAGATACGCTACGATTTAGTAGCGAGCGACTGAAGAACTCAGCGCGGACTCATGAAGCGGCGGTGGGGTGGGGGTCGAGGGAGGAGATTGGTTTTGAGTTGACTAAAAACGCAGCGTTTTAGTAGGGAGTGACAGAAAGAATCAACGTGGACTCATGAGGCGATTTCTAAGGCGCCTCAAAAAGAGTGACTGACGAAATCAATGTGCACTCACAAGGTGGCGGTGTATTGGTGCGACTTTTGAGAATTCTCAAAAGTCGCACCAAATCAATGTGCACTCACGAGGCGGCGGTGGGGGTCGAGGGAGGAGAGAGCATGTGAGAGGAGGACCAGGTGCTCTGAGTCGAGTAGATGCTGTAGGGTGGGGAAGACGGGGGGAGAGGAAGGGAAGAGCGGAAGGAGAAGAACGGGAGAGGGATGGAAAAAGGGACGGGAGGAGAGAGCATGTGAGAGGAGGACCAGGTGCTCTGAGTCGAGTAGATGCTGTAGGGTGGGGAAGACGGGGGGAGAGGAAGGGAAGAGCGGAAGGAGAAGAACGGGAGAGGGATGGAAAAAGGGACGGGAGGAGAGAGCATGTGAGAGGAGGACCAGGTGCTCTGAGTCGAGTAGATGCTGTAGGGTGGGGGAGACGGGGGGAGAGGAAGGGAAGAGCGGAAGGAGAAGAACGGGAGAGGGATGGAAAAAGGGACGGGAGGAGAGAGCATGTGAGAGGAGGACCAGGTGCTCTGAGTCGAGTGGATGCTGTTGGGAGCGGAAGACAGGGGGAGAGGAAGGGAAGAGCGGGAGAAGAATAAGGGGAGAGGGATGGAAAAAGGGGAGGGAAGAGAGAGCGTGTGAGAGCAGGACCAGGTGCTCTGAGTCGAGCAGATGCTGTTGGGAAGGGAAGACGGGGGGAAGGTAGAGGATTTTTAGTCGACTCAAGAACAGTGGGAGAGAGCGTGTGAGAGCAGGACCAAGTGCCCTGAGTCGAGTAGATGCTGTTGGGAAGAAGGGAGGAGGAGTAGTCAAGGAGGAAGGGGGGAGATTTTCGTAGAAGGGAGTGAGTTTTGTGTCAGAGGAGAATCTCCCTGAAGGGAGTGTGTCAGAGGAGAATCTCCCGGCATGGGGCCTGATGAAGGGCATCGTGCCGAAACGCGTACGCTCGGTTGGGAATGATAAATTCCTTGTTTACTTGAGATCCCTACCTAGCCTAGGCACCTACAGAATAGCGAAGACTAGGACAAGATCCGTCTAGGTCGAATCTATACTTCTCTGAGATTTTCGTAGAAGGGAGTGAGTTTTTTGTCAGAGGGGAGAAGCTCTCGGCATGGGTGCGGTTGGGCAGGGAGGAGACGTCAAAGGACAGAGGGTTCTTCACTCGCCTCCTCCCCAAACCTCTCTCATCCCCATCCCATCCCCATTCCACTCTCATCCCTCCTATCAAACCCACCTGCCAGGGGTCCGTTTTATCCGAGGAGAATGTCTCAGCATGGGTGCGGTTGGGGAGGGAGGAGACGTCGAAGGAAAGTGGGTTGTTAACTCGCCTCATCCTCATACCTCTCCCATCCCCATTCCACTCTCATCCCCCCCCTCAAACACACCTGCCAGGGGTCCGTTTTATCAGAGGAGAATGTCTCGGCATGGGTGCGGTTGGGGAGGGAGGAGACGTCAAAGGAGAGTGGGTTCTTCACTCGCCTCCTCCCCATCCCTCTCCCATCCCCATCCCACTCTCATCCCCATTCCACTCTCATCCCTCCTATCAGACCCACCTGCCAGGGGTCCGTTTTATCCGAGGAGAATGTCTCAGCATGGGTGCGGTTGGGGAGGGAGGAGACGTCGAAGGAAAGTGGGTTGTTAACTCGCCTCATCCCCATACCTCTCCCATCCCCATTCCACTCTCATCCCTCCCCTCTAACCCACCTGCCAGGGGTCTGATTTATCAGAGGAGAATGTCTCAGCATGGGTGCGGTTGGGCAGGGAGGAGGATTGGGTGGAGGGTTGCTTGCATCACATCCTACCAACGTGCTCTCATACAACGCCTCATCCCTCCTCTCATCCCCACTCTCAGTCATCCCCACCCCACCTGCCAGGGGTCCGACTTGTCAGAGGAGAATGTCTCAGTGTGCGTGCGGTTGGGCAGGGAGGAGACGTCAAAGGAGAGCGGGTTCTTCACTCGCCTCATAGCCCTCGATACAGTCACAATCTGGTGGGAGGGGAATACCAAGAGACATACAGGAAGTTTACTTCTATCATGGCCCTCGATACAGTCACAATCTGGTGGGCGAGAGGAATGGCAGGGAGGCAAGGGCGATGGTAACTTGCAGCAAATCGTGGGCATATTACTCAACGTCCCCATAGATTCATGGGCACAAATTGTGGCATAACCCATCCACTGCGTTCATTGGCACATTACGTAACCAACCTCTTGAGTTATGGGCATAGTCCGAACCTACCCTAAGGTTCACGGGTGAATTCCGCAGCATACCCGTTGGGGCGAGAGGCTGGTGGCAGCTGAGAGGTCTGCGAGGGTGGGCTCCCGGGCGTGCTGCTTGCGGAATGACTGGGTGGGGGCAGAGGGTGAGGGGCAAAGGGAGAGAGAGGCTTTTGGACCGGCTTCGAAGTCACTTGGTGGTGGCTGAGAGGTCTGCGAGGGTGGGCTCCCGGGCGTGCTGCTTGCGGAATGACTGGGTGGGGGCAGAGGGTGAGGGGCAAAGGGAGAGAGAGGCTTTTGGACCGGCTTCGAAGTCACTTGGTGGCAGCTGAGAGGTCTGCGAGGGTGGGCTCCCGGGCGTGCTGCTTGCGGAATGACTGGGTGGGGGCAGAGGGTGAGGGGCAAAGGGAGAGAGAGGCTTTTGGACCGGCTTCGAAGTCACTTGGTGGTGGCTGAGAGGTCTGCGAGGGTGGGCTCCCGGGCGTGCTGCTTGCGGAATGACTGGGTGGGGGCAGAGGGTGAGGGGCAAAGGGAGAGAGAGGCTTTTGGACCGGCTTCGAAGTCACTTGGTGGCAGCTGAGAGGTCTGCGAGGGTGGGCTCCCGGGCGTGCTGCTTGCGGAATGACTGGGTGGGGGCAGAGGGTGAGGGGCAAAGGGAGAGAGAGGCTTTTGGACCGGCTTCGAAGTCACTTGGTGGCAGCTGAGAGGTCTGCGAGGGTGGGCTCCCGGGCGTGCTGCTTGCGGAATGACTGGGTGGGGGCAGAGGGTGAGGGGCAAAGGGAGAGAGAGGCTTTTGGACCGGCTTCGAAGTCACTTGGTGGCAGCTGAGAGGTCTGCGAGGGTGGGCTCCCGGGCGTGCTGCTTGCGGAATGACTGGGTGGGGGCAGAGGGTGAGGGGCAAAGGGAGAGAGAGGCTTTTGGACCGGCTTCGAAGTCACTTGGTGGCAGCTGAGAGGTCTGCGAGGGTGGGCTCCCGGGCGTGCTGCTTGCGGAATGACTGGGTGGGGGCAGAGGGTGAGGGGCAAAGGGAGAGAGAGGCTTTTGGACCGGCTTCGAAGTCACTTGGTGGCAGCTGAGAGGTCTGCGAGGGTGGGCTCCCGGGCGTGCTGCTTGCGGAATGACTGGGTGGGGGCAGAAGGTAAGAGGTGATGGGGAAAGTTGGACGGACAGAGTGAGTGATCAGGGAGGTTATGGAGGGAGAGGATGAAAGAATGGATTTAAGGCTGAGGGATCAGGAATCCAATCCAAGGCACACATAAGTGCACTACCTGCTTAAGAAGTGCCTGAAACGTTGCAGGTTGTTTTTGAGAAATTTCAAGAGCAACCTGCGCGAGAGACAGGAAGATCGAGAAGGGTGAGAGAGAGAGAGCAAGAGTGCTCACAGCATAGGCAGCCGAAATCTCAGCGTACTGAAAGTAGGCGTAGCGTGGGAAGGAGAAGACTGGCGACCGGCGCCACACCTCCTGCTGGAGGGTCTGGTGAGCCGGGGGAGAGAGGAGAATGGAAGGGTTAATGGGCATCCAGAGGTGCGTGGGGGAGTGAGATGGGGTTGAAGGAACCGAAGCGGTGTGGGAAGGTGAGGGTGTGGGGGGGGGTGGTGGCAGGTAGGTAAAGAGGTGGTGAAGAATTGCCAAGACTGCTCACCTGATAGACGAGACGGCTGGCCACGTGTAAAAGGTGATTTTTTTGTACGTCTCACCTGAGGAGTTCACTTTTTACATGAGGATCTGACAAGACAGCTCACCTGATAGACGAGACGGCTGGCCCATGATGAGAACGACATTGCCTGCTGCTGCTGCTGCTGCTGTTGCTGCTGCTCCGTTCTCTCCACCATCCCTTCACCCTGCTCTTTAGGTGAGGAGGTGAGGAGGAAGACAGCTCACCTGATAGACGAGACGGCTGGCCCATGATGAGAACGACATTGCCTGCTGCTGCTGCTCCTACTGCTGCTGCTGCTGCTCCGTTCTCTCCACCATCCCTTCTCCCTGCTCTTTAGGTGAGGAGGTGAGGAGGAAGACTGCTCACCTGATAGACGAGACGGCTGGCCCATGATGAGAACGACATTGCCTGCTGCTGCTGCTGCTGGTGTTGCTGCTGCTGGGGTACAGCGAGGGGCGATGAGAGAGGGGGGTGGGTGAGGGGTACAGCGAGGGGTGGGTGCTCACCTGATAGACGAGACGGCTGGCCCATGATGAGAACGACATTGCCTGCTGCTGCTGCTGCTCCTCCTTCTCTACCACCTCTCGCTGCTCTTCATTTGAGTCGATTGCAAGGCCCTTCTCCTCCTGCATCGCCATCTGTGTAGTGTCAGCTGGCCCTTCACACACCCTTTGGCCCAACCCCTCCCCTTCCTCTTGTCCTCTCATCCCGTCACCCTCTCCCCTGCCACCCTCCACACCCCCTCTCCCCCTCTCTGCCTCATCCCGTCCAATCTCCACTCCAGCTCTCCTCCTTAGCCCAGGCAGAGCCCACAGCCGCCCCTTCCTCATACCATACTCGTCCTCCTGCCATGCCTTCACCCTACCCTCCTTCTCCTTCTTATCCCGCTTCTCCCCTTTATCCCCCTTATCCACCTTCTCCTCCTTCTCCTCCCCTCGTGCTCTCGAATGGGTGGTTTTGGTCGCACTGGGTTGCCGTGTGGAAAGGTCTGAGGCTGGGGAGGCAAAGGAGGGGTTGTAGGTTGCTGCTGCTCGCAGCAGGGCTGTCACTCCCGCCTGGTGCACAGAATGGGAGTGGGAGAGAGAAAAAATCAATTATTACCAGGTCGACTGGGGGATCAACCCGAGGCTGGCTGGAGAGGCGAGGGTGGGGTTGTAGGTTGCTGCTGCTCGAAGCAGAGCCGTCACGCCCGCATGTCATGGAGGGAGTGATGGGCAAGAGAAAATGTGGGAAAAAATACCAGTCGATTAAGAGATCGGTCTGAGGCTGGAGAGGCGAGGGTGGGAGGGGTTGTAAGTTGCTGGTGCTCGAAGCAGAGCCGGCACTTCTGCCTGGTGTGCAGATAATGGTGGGAGGAACGGGAGTGAGGAACGAAGGAGGGAAAGGACTCTTGAGTTGACTACAAAAGCGGCTCAGGAGAGGTCTGAGGCTGGAGAGGCCTCCAACACCACAACCCCCAACGCCAGAACCCCCAACGCCACAGCTCCCAACACCCGCGAGTACGCACGTGGTAGAGGTCGGAGAGGGACACCCCGTGGCCGAAGAAGCAGTCTGCCCGATCCACCCTACCTTCTCATCTTCCCCAACACCACAGCCCCCAACACGTTACACAATACCCCCGCCACCCCACCCCAACCCATCGCGCACGTGGTAGAGATCGGAGAGGGACACCCCGTGGCCGAAGAAGCGGCGAGCAATGGAACACACTCGCCCTGAATGAGCCGCCACTAGGCGAATCAAACTCTCTCCATTGCTCCAACCCATCTCACCCCTCCCCAGTCCCCGCTCCATCCCCCCTTCATCCCCTCACGCACGTGGTAGAGGTCGGAGAGGGACACCCCGTGGCCGAAGAAGCGGCGAGCAATGGAGCGCACCAGGCCTGAGTGAGCCGCCACGAGCCGCTGCTGGGCCAAGGGCGCCTGGGCCGCACTGGGTAGGGGGTGGGGGGGGAAACGAGGGGGGGTTGAGGGTGAGGATGAGGAGGATGGGTGGTCGGCGTGTTGAGGACGAGGAACCAGGCCTGAGTGAGCCGCCACGAGCCGCTGCTGGGCCAAGGGCGCTTGGGCCGCACTGGGTAGGGAGTGGGGGGGGGAACGAGGGGGGGTTGAGGGTGAGGAGGAGGAGGATGGGTGGTCGGCGTGTTGAGGACGAGGAACCAGGCCTGAGTGAGCCGCCACGAGCCGCTGCTGGGCCAAGGGCGCTTGGGCCGCACTGGGTAGGGAGTGGGGGGGGGAACGAGGGGGGGTTGAGGGTGAGGAGGAGGAGGATGGGTGGTCGGCGTGTTGAGGACGAGGAACCAGGCCTGAGTGAGCCACCACGAGCCGCTGCTGGGCCAAGGGCGCTTGGGCCGCACTGGGTAGGGGGTGGGGGGGGAAACGAGGGGGGGTTGAGGGTGAGGATGAGGAGGATGGGTGGTCGGCGTGTTGAGGACGAGGAACCAGGCCTGAGTGAGCCGCCACGAGCCGCTGCTGGGCCAAGGGCGCCTGGGCCGGACTGGGGGGTTGCGTGTACACAGGTGAAATGGCAGCGGAGGAGGGACGATGAGGGGAAACGGAGGGCAGAGGCAAGGGAAGACGGGGAAATAAAGGGGCTGTTTTAAGAGACTCTCTCCCGAGAGGGCAGCCAGCAGACGCTGCTAGGCCAAGGGTACTTCGGGTGTAAAAAGAGTAGTTTTGAGACGTCTCTTTTACACTCAAAACTACTCTTTTTACACGTAGCCAGCAGACGCTGCTGGGCCAAGGGTACTTCGGTCGAGAAACGGGTTTGGGCTAAGGCAGCAGGAGCGAAAGGGGTTTTGAGCTACGGGGTATGCAGCACGGGGTGTAGAGAGCTAAGGGGGCTATAAACCGGGGTTGGTGGTTACAGGTGCACGAGGTCCCGGGAATGGTTGTTGTCATTAGCTGTTCCTTGATCTGAGTGGTCCAAAGGCACACCATGCATGTCTGCATTGATTGCTGCCTGTAACCCTGGCTGCTCAAGTGGTGATGCGTGCCCGCTGTTGCTGTTCTGGCGGTCAACGCTCTTGCTGCTATCGGTGCTATTGCTGCTGCTCCTGCTGCTGCTCGCGCTGCCGCCGGTGTCGCTGCTGCTGGTGACCACTCGGCGCTGGTGAGCGTTAAGCTGCACTACTGCCTGAAGAAGCGAGCATGCAGGTGGAAAGGGAATAGCCACAAGAGAGGGCGAAAAGGAAGCGGAATTGAGGAAAAACAGTTGACGAGAGGAGGACGTGGGAATAGGTATGGGAATAAGGAGATGGGATGGGAATGGTAGACAAGATACACATACCGATGGTATCGTGGTGCAACAGAGGAATCAGTTGGGAAAGAGAAAATGAGCAAGGACAAAGAACTGAGAAAGGAAGAAATTGACTTCTGAGGTGCCTCAAAATCCTCTCCACATAAAATCCACGAGAACTGAGACGACTTTTGAGGCGCCTCAAAGGTCGTCTCAGTTGAGAAAGAGAAAAAGAGCAAGGACAAAGAACTGAGAAAGGTAGAAAATGCGCTCCCTCTTGGCTCAACCGACCACCGAACCCTGCAGATGCTCCCTCCCATGCCACACCCCCATAACTGCACGCACACCATCCATCCCCCCCACACGCCCCTCACTCACACTCCCTCTCTCTCACCCACTCACTCACCTTCATCACACGACTGTATGCCTCCGCTTCCTCCTGGCTCAACCGACCACCGAACCCTGCAGATTCTCTCTCCCATGCCGCACCAGTTTCCCCCATAGCTGCACGCGCACGCTCCATCCCCACACGCCCCTCACTCGCACTCCTCTGCTTCTTGCTGCCCCCTCGCTTACTTCTCCCCTTTTTCTCTGCTCCCCACTCCTCACTCCCACCCTCCTGCTCCTCCCCACCCCCTGCATCCTTTCCTGCTTCACTCTTTGCCTCCCCCCACGCTTCCCTCCTTGCCTCCCGCCCTGCTTCCCTCCACGCCTCCCTCCATGCCTCCCTCTCGTCATCCCTACCAGCCCCTCCTACTCTCCATTCCTCCATATCCATCTCTCTTTCCGTTTCCCCGTTACTCCATCTCTGAGTGGAAGCACCACCCCTCCTCTGCCTTCCACCTTCAGCCACTGCATGCCGCCCACTTTCTGTGGCATGCCGCCCACTTTCTGTGGCATGCAGCCCACTTTCTGTGGCATGCCGCCCACTTGCTGATGAATACCGCCCACTTTCTGTGGCATGCCGCCCGCTTGCTGCTGCCTCCCGCACACCAGCTTCAAGGCTCGTACTTCTTCTCCTCATCCTCATCCGACCCATGCTCAAACCACCAGCACCAGCAGCAGCAGCAGCAGCAGCAGCAGCAGCAGCAGCAGAAGCATCACCAGCAGGAGCACGAGTAAACGCTGTACCAGAGTCACCAGCACAGCTGCTGCTGCTGCTTCTCCTGCTTCCAGCTCTAGCATCGCCCTTTGCAGAGCTGGAAGCAGGAGCAGCAGGAAACAGCCAGGCGTCATCGTGGGCCGTCCAGGGCAGGACCGAGCGGCCAAGCTCGGCAGCTAGTGGGGAAGGGGTTACCTGGCGGCAGATCTCCGCCACGATATGGGCGGCGCCAGCCGTCCACATCTCCCTGGCTACAGCTGACGCTACAGCCGACCTCTGCCCTTCCGGTATCTTCTCCACTTCGAGAAACGGCACTTGCAGAAACGAAGCACCCTTAGGCGCGGATAGCTGTTCTGCTCCTCTTGGTGCTGATTCTGTTCCTGCTGGTTCTGCTGAGTGTGCTGGTGCTGATTGGTCTGCTAGTGATAGGCCTGTTGGTGCTGGGTTTGCTGCTTCTGCCGTTGATTCTCCAGTGGATGTACAGGATTCCCCTGAACACACAACATCAGCACCAACGCCATCACTGCCACCAACGCCATCACGAGTACCATACACATCTGAAGCACCACGGTCATAAAGAGGGCTATGGGCATCAGTGGCACCATAGACATCAGGGGCACTATGGGCATCAGGAGCGCTATGGGAGCCATACAGGAGCGCGTATCCCTCCTCCAGCCACTTCTGCAGCGCAGCAGCCCTCGCTCTCGCGCCTCTCTCATCTGCCTCCTCCTCTCCCCTCCTCCCTCCCTCCCCTGACCTACCTTCTCGTACCCACGATTCCACCCGTCTGTCCGCCCGGGTTTCCTCTCCCCTCCCTCTTTCCCCCTCCCTCCCACTCTCCCCCACCCTGCCCCTGCTGGGTCTGCCCCTGCCCCTGCCTCTTCCTCTCACCCTGCTGCTGCTCCCGCTATAGTCACGTTCACCACCATCAGATCCCTTGTATGGAGTGTGACGGGTCCGAAGTGACTGTAACGGGAGGTTCTGCAGGGCCTGGTCATCCATCAACAGAGAGGGCTTCTCCCCGTGACTATAACGAACGACGGTTTCTAAGGCCCTCGCCCTCTGTGGCGATGATGTGTCCCTCTGTGAGATGCTTGTAACGGGACCAGATTGTCCTTGTAACGAATTGCTTGTGACAGTTATAGAGGAGACTTTCCAAGTTGAAAGTCCCCTACTCTCGCTGCCACTGCTGCTGCTGCTGCTGCTGCCACTGCTGCTGCTACAGCTGCCGCTGCTAACGCTGCTGCTGCTGCTCTTACTGCGGCTGCTTCTATTGCTGCTGCCACCGCTTCTCTTGCTACCTCTGCCCTTGTTCCCGCCGTTGCAATTGCTCACACTCACACTGTCACCGCACCCACCATCCCGCCTCAAGGTATGAGGATTGCGCCAGGCTTTTGTGTGACGAGACGAGTTCTGGGAAGCCTCAAAAATGTTTCCGCTGTTGCTGCTACTCCCACTTGAGGTGTGAGCGCACTCACCAATTTGCGTCAACCCATCCAGATTGTGCCCCGCTCCTGGCCCCTCTTGCTTCAATCCATCCGAAATTTGACTCGATCCATCCGGATTTCTACCGACTTCTGGCACCTCTACTGGCAAAATTTTATCGAGATTGCCGGTTGAAGCTCCGCGCGGAAGCATGCCGGGTCCCTCGGAACTTTGAAGCACATCAGGTCTGTTTCTGGACGTTGCGAACACCCGACCCGAGTTCGAACCCTGGCTGGTCAAGATTTCGTTCTGCAGTGAGGACGCAGAGGGAAAGCCTGGAGGGGCAAGGAGCAGGCCTGGAGAGGACGGAAGATTCCTGGAAAATCCTGATGGCTTGCTTGAAAGTCTCCTAGGTTGAGCGAGTCCGCGAGAGGCCACGCTGGAGAGGAGAAGCGGGGGGGTAACCGCCGCCATGGCTGCCGTGCGTCCGTTGTTAACTTATCGTGGTGGTACAACAGTGGCGTTACCATGCGGGAATCAGCGATAGTGATGCGATGAGCAGGCGGCAGCAGAAGAGGCAAATCTCGTCGGTGTAGGAGTGGAATCTAAACAGGAGAGGCAGACACCCTCAGGGTACTGTCAGGCTAGACCTGAGATGCCACATGAGAGCATGCAAACACACTATAGACGCAAGAAGTGACTCTGGTATGGACACCCGTTGTGCAACCTCCTGTCGACGTAAGAGAATTCCACTCGCAAGCGTGAGCTATGAAAATACCTCAACCTACCGTAAAGTACTGTAACCTTCAAGTGGAGCCCAGCTAAAGCTGATGGGCAAGGAAGGTGACTGATATGACATCGGCGCCGAAGTGCCTCTTGGGATTGACGATCTCTCTGCTGACGTGAGATCTTTGTGCCGACACTCCCTTTCGCTTGACGTTTGCGGCTGAAAAGGTCTTGCACTAGGTAAAAACGAGGCTGGAAGTTGGAAAACTTGTCATCGCTACAAGCACAGCAAGGAGAAACACACGGTGATCTAGCATTCGTCAATTGTACACTCGTGTCATATCTCCGCTCAGATGATAGTAAATGCTGTCTTTCTTGCACCTTGTGCTCCAATGATTGTTTTTTCTTCACACATTATTTCTATAATAATTATAACAAGCAAAGTTTTACTAATACATACGTATTTAAGGACTTGAGGAAACAGGAATTTCCATATCCGACCAGACACGCATGTATATTTGAACTGGTATAAGGTCAACCTAATATTCAACCTAATATGGAAGCACATAACCAGTATTCAGAATTGGCCTTCAGTTGTGCTAACTGTTTAAATGCGGATGTACTGTAGCTACAAAACATCACTCAACTGTTTGATCGGGGCGCAGATGCTGGGCCTTCACACTATTGATGGAACGCCTTTGGACCAATCAGAGCACTCCACGCGTTGTTCAGCCAGGTGGTTTTCCAAATTGACGTCCGCACCGACACACATTTCTTTTCCCTTCTCGCCCTACTCGACCGTTCTGCTCCATTTCGCCCCGCAAGCTTCTCTTCCTACTCCTCTCCCACTTCCATCCCGCCTCTTTCTCCTCCCTTCCTCTCTTCTCCTCGCCTCTCTCTCTGCGCCTCTCGTTTCATTCCTCCCTCGTGCTCTACCACTCTCCCACCTCCCTCCCATCTCCGCACCTCCTTTCCTCTTTTCAGGGAACGGAACACTCTCGACTCGAGTCACTTACCTCCTCCTTATTCGCGCACATACCCCCTTCGCGTCACCGCACCGCCGCCTCGTGTGCGGAGCCGAGGCACTGAAGGGTGCCAGCTTGCTTGGAAGGCACACACGTGACACGACGAGGCCGCTCTAGCGCCTTCATTGTGCCGCACAGCGACAAGAATGGGTTTCTTGCAACTGCTCCGCCGCGACTAGGCTTTCTCGTTAGAAACACGCATTTTCAACAAAACCAGTTTGAGAGAAAGATAGGGTCACACGAAGCTGGCGAGTTTCAAGTTTATAAGATCACGAAAATGTCGATCGGAGTAGTGGCGGTCCATCCCGCTTCGCAATACGCGCGGCAGTTCTTAAAGCTGGTGCTTTTAACGGGGGGGCTCCTAGCGCTAGCCTTTTGGTTCAGTCCTCTCGCTTTAATCGACGGCGATGGCGCCTCAGCGTGGCGCGGCTTCGTCGTTGATTCTCCCGCAAATGCCGCCGCAACATCCGTTCAGCCGTGCGACAGAGGCGGCGGGACCGATGCCGCCGGCGCTATCGGCGCGCGCGATCTTGTCGACGCGTCCGCCGCCGCATCCTCCGCCGCGTTTGACGCTCGCGCCGTGCAGTTCGGCGGGAAGCCGCTCTGCTGGTGGTCCGGCGACCACGGCGGGTACGGCTGGGACGACGACGCGAGCCACGATCGGCGGCGGAAAAAGCGGAAGCACTCCGGCCAACGGCGCGGGGGGGTGCTGATGTTCGGAAGCGGGTGCGCGGGGTGCGTTGCGGGGCAGTGGTGTAGCTTCGAGATCGAAATACGACCGCCCGCGAAATGGGTGTTTCCGGAGACAGACGCGTTTGTAGACTTTCTTATAGTGGAGCTGTGGGGACCTTCTATCGCGTACGCGGACGTGAAACGGGTGGGCAGCGACAGCAAGAGGTGGAAGGTGTCTTATCGAGTCTGGGACGCCGGAGAATACACGTGAGTTGGGTTATTCAGGTGTGAGTGAGGGTCTTCAGGTGTGTGTGAGGGTCTTCAGGTGTGAGTGAGGGTCTTCAGGTGTGCGTGAGGGTCTTCAGGTGTGTGTGAGGGTCTTCAGGTGTGCGTGAGGGTCTTCAGGTGTGTGTGAGGGCCTTCAGGTGTGTGTGAGTGCGTGGTCACTTCAGGTGTGTGAATGATCCCTGCCGTGTGTCGCACTCTTAGCTCAGCTCTCTCCTCCATCCCTCCGTCCCCCCTCCCCCCCCCCCACCCCCCACACGCAGCGTCACAGTCATATTCGGCTGCGTCAATCTCAACTACGTTGCAAAATTCGCCCAACAGAGCATCGATCCCTATATTGGTGTTACTTTTGAGATTTCTCAAAACCAATCTCAACTACATTGCAAAATTCGCCCAACAGGGCACCAATTCCTATATTTTTGTTACTTTTAAGAATTCTCAAAAATAATCTCAATTACACTGCAGAATTCGCCCAACAGGGGCATCTATCACTTTGCCAACTGGACCCTCACCGTTTCCCACCCTCTTTCCACCCTCCCTCCACCCTCCCTCCACCTTTCCCCCCCCTTCTTCGTTCCCTGCCCCAACCTTCTCCCCCCATCCCCCCCTGCTGCAGCGTCACAGTCATATCCGGCTGCACCAATCTCAACTACACCGCGAAATTCGCGAAACAAGGAGTCGAGCCCTTTACCAACTGGACCGTTTTTTAGTTGACTCAAAACGCCCCCCATCTCCCCGTGCAGCGTCACAGTCATATCCGGCTGCACCAATCTCAACCACACCGAAATCACGTCCCAGCTATCTCCCTCCCCACCTCTCTCTACCTCCCCTTCCCCTCCCTTCCCTTCCCCCTTCTCCCCCCGCACACAGCTTCACGGTCATATCCGGCTGCACCAATCTCAACCACACTGCCAAATTCGCCAAACAAGGCGTCAATCCCTTTGCCAACTGGTCCCTTTTTTTAGTTGACTCAAACCCCCCCCCATCCCCCAACTCCCCACGCAGCGTCACAGTCATTTCAGGATGCACCAATCTCAACTACACTGCGAAATTCGCCAAGCAAGGAGTCGAGCCCTTTGCCAACTGGACCCTTTTTTTAGTTGACTCAAACCCTCCCCCATCCCCCGCCCCCCAACTCCCCTCGCAGCGTCACGGTCATACCCGGCTGCACCAATCTCAACTACACTGCCAAATTCGCCAAGCAGGGCGTCAATCCCTTTGCCAACTGGACCCGCACCGTTGCACACCCATTCCTCCTTGAGAGGTTTTCCTCAGCTTCCCGCGGATCCTCTCTCTATTGTACCTACCCTTCCCCTCCCCAACTTCTTTCCACCCTCCCCCACCCCTCCCTCTCCCCCCTCCCTCTCCCCCCTCCTCTTTCCCCCACAACCCCTCCCCACCTCACACAGCGTCACAGTCATATCCGGCTGCACCAATCTCAACCACACCACGATCACGTCTCAGCTCTCTCCCTCCCCGCCTCTCTCTACCTTCCAACCTCCCCTCCCTTCCGCCTCCCCATCCCCCCCTTGCTGCAGCGTCACGGTCATATCCGGCTGCACCAATCTCAACTACACTGCCAAATTCGCAAAACAAGGAGTCGAGCCCTTTGCCAACTGGATCCTCACCGTCGCCCACCCATTCGCAAACCTCCCCACCGCGAGAGATCTCTCCCAGCTTCCCGCGGATTCTCCCCCACGAGAGAATGCCGGCAGCGGGACAGGGAAGGGGAGGAAAGGAGGGAAAGCGGAAGGGGAAGTGGAGCGTGTACTAGCAGAGAGGGCGGGGGGAGAGGTGGGGGCGGAAAGGGGAGCGGATTCTCCCTCGAATTCTGGCAGCGGGACAGGGAAGGGGAGGAAACGAGGGAAAGCCGAAGGGGAAGTGGAGCGTGTACTAGCAGAGAGGGCGGGGGGAGAGGTGGGGGCGGAAGGGGGAGCGGGGGGGGAGGAAGGGGGCGATTGGCTGGCGGAAGCTGAGGCGGAGTGGCATGAAGCGCCATGCGATCAGGCTGTTGCTGGCAGGTGGCTCCACGTGAACAACGCCTACAGGTGTGTTGAATTCACTTTTGGGAATTCTCAAATGCGATCAGGCTGTTGCTGGCAGATGGCTTACCGTTATGTGGACAAAGCCTACAGGTGAGCGGAAGGGGGGACGGAGGGGGGAGCGGAGGCGGAGGAAGGGGAGGATTGGCTGGCACAGGCTGAGGCGGAGTGGCGTGAAGCGCCGTGCGATCAGGCTGTAGCTGGCTGGCAGAAGGCTCCACGTGAACAACGCCTACAGGTGACGTGGCCCCGGATGTTGCATGCTGGCGTGGCTCTTGAGTGAATTATCCACCTGCATATATCCAGGCTTCATCACTGTCCCTATGTTGAAATCGATTTTGAGGATTCTCAAAAGTGATTCCAGGTTCCATCACTGTCCCACCTTGCAGTTATGCTTCCCTACTCCCTAAAATCATGCTTCCCTGAGCCCTCTTTCATGTGCTTCTTCCCTTGAAGGCTGCTTCAGGCTGCATCAGCGCATCATCCCACTGCACTGTACCTTCCCTTTTGTGGGCGACTCGCACCAGCGCTTCCGCATGCTCTTATAAACTACCTCTTTCCGTGTGCTTGACCCCATGCCTAAACTGGAAACCTTTGGCTTCTGTCCTTTCCCCCCCTACCTTTTTCTTCCCCAGGTGGCGCTTTTTCCCGTGTGCCTCGCCGGTGCCCCCACCACCGCAGTGGGTGGAGGCGTTGCAGGCGCGGGGCATTCGGGAGATCAGCTTTGTGGGCGACTCGCACCAGCGCTTCCTCATGCTCTTTATAAACTACCTCGTTATGCACGACGTCGACGACGCGCTCTGGAAGTTCCACGGGGATATTGTTATCAACCTGCCGCCGCCCAAGGGGAGGACGGACTTAAAGCCTCTGAAATTGAATTTCTACTGGGTGGACGGAATGTACCATAACGACGAGTACGGATGCACGTAAGTCATTCGATTTTCTGGAGCACTCTTTTTGTTCTCCCTTCTTGTTTTCGTTTTGTTCTTTTCCTAGTTGGACGTCTCAAGACCTATCATTGGTTTGCCGGCTCCAGACACCTTGGAATTCAGCTTTCAGCAATCTTATTGTTTCTCTCCACCGTCGCACCGACTCATGTCCCCCTTCCCTCCCTCCCTACCAACTCTCCCTCCCTCCCTCCCTCCGTACCTCCCTCCCTTCTTACAGCCGCCGAGGGTTCTGGTCGCACCGCAACAACACCTTCCCTGATTTGTCTCTTTCTGCCGACGTGACAATAATCGACGGTGGCTTCTGGGCCACCTGCAACTGCTTCCAGCCGGAGCAGGCCTTCAGTAAACACCTCCCCGCGTACGTCGCCTGGGCCAGGCGTCAACAGGGCAGGCTGCAAAAGTGGCATGCGAAACACAGCAAGGAGAACGAAGCTCCTACCGGAACAAGCGGGAAGCCATGGATGCTGTACCGGAGTATTGTCCCTTGGAAGCCGTATGGGACGTGCGAGGTTTTGGTTCCGACCAACTTGCTAATCGGGCACATGAATGGGATGATCAAGACGGAAATTCGGAGGTACGGGATTGGGTATCTGGATGGGTGGCCGGTGGAGATCCCAAGGTACTTTGATACATGTAGTGTCAAGGATCGGCACTACACTTGCCATAAGGCGAAAGAAGGCACCAAGAATGGGATGTTTTATGGAGATGTTGGGGAGGCTATGGTGATGCACACCATGTACAACCTTCTATTTAAACACTGGTAGAGGTGTAGTAACTTGTATATTTGCTACACCTCTGTTGTTTTTGTACTTACGAATTCTAATCGCGTGAAAGTAAGATCATTGATAGAAATAAACATACAACAGCAATGCTTGCACATGCTTTACATATGAACACTGTACAATCAACCCACACTAGCTTCAGCCCTGAAATGATCCCTTTCCATCTGACCAACTTCCATCCCAAACACCTGCCACCCAAAAGCATTTGTACGCTCTGACTCTTCAACACCAAGCATCGAAGGTGCAGATCTCCATGAAGGAACCTTGGAGCTACTACTCTCAACAGCACAGCAGCAGTTGCTGTCGGCATCACGCTCAGAAGCAGCTTCACTTGCTGGTGGCGAATCCCGGTATTGCGTCGACAAATCACAGGCATTAGGCTGGGGGGAGAGTGAAATCTCAGAAACTAGAGGGGACGCCCTTACAGGCAGAGGAGGAGTGGACTCTTCACGAGAGATCAAGTCATGGAAGAGAGAGAACAGAGAGGAAGAGGGAGCTGGTGGTGGTGCCGACGGAGAGGAAGATTCTTCAGCCTCAGGGGGGGAATGGAAGGACCCAGGTGCTGAGCGTGCAGGGGGGAACAGCGGCTCATCAGAAGAGCTCCCTGGAGAGAGCTGGTTTGATGGAGAAAGCTGGTCTGAGAAGGAACCAGCACTGAAGGCACGTGCTACCTCATGCAGCGGGGAGAGGAGATGAGGAGAGGGTGTTCCCGAGAGGAAAGAAGAAGCAAATGCATCGTCAAATAGTTTGAATGCAGCATGGTCCACAGCCTCAGTGGTGTCTGCATTCGGTGAATCATCCACGGATGTCGGACTCTGGAGGAAGCTGGTGGGGCTGAAGAAACCTTCAAAGCAGCTGGGACCCTCCCCACGTGCTGTCAAGGGTCCAACACTTGGTTCGCTGGTGAAATCAAAGGAGAGATTGAGAGGTGGAGGCATGGTGAAGGCAGGGCGGGGATGGTCCACTGGAGTCGTCACAGTGTTGCTGCTGACAGTCCCAGGTGTGGCTGCCTTCCTGGGCTGTATGTTGAAGCTGTCAGTGATAAAGCAGTCCGCAGCATGAGCACCTACGCTCACACCATCGGCCTGGTTGAGATTTGTTTCTGCCGGACTGCTGCTGAAGAAATGGAAATCATCCGCCATTGCGTCACGGCTGCACGTCAACTGATCCGTCAGAGCCATGTCACCCTCGCCTGAAGCAACTCGAATGAACGGATGCTGCAGCAGATCCTCAGCCGTCGACCGTCCGTCAGGGTCACGATCCAGGCACTTCTGTAGAAAATCCCGTCCCTGAGCAGAAATCCTCGCCGGAAATTCAGGAACCTCGACGGAGCAGCCAATCTTGTACAGAACCGACATGAACGATTTCGGAGATTGCCGATTCTGCTTGACGGATTCCTTGGAAACCCACGGCGGACGTCCTGTGAGCATCTCAATAACGGTGCATCCCAGCGACCAGACGTCGGAAGCGGGAGTCGCGCCCTTCTCCGCGACCACCTCCGGCGCCATCCAGCAGATCGTCCCCTTCATCTGCTTCCGCTCCGCCGTTCCCGCCAGTTTCGCCTTCCCCGCTAGGCTCGCGCACCCAGCTTCGCGAGCTCGCGCGTCCCTGGTAACACCGGCTTCCCGATCCAGCGATTGAGGCGAATCTCGCGGGGAAGTTCCAGACGAATCCCTCGACGACGACGCAGGCGAATCGAGCTGGAACGACGCGCCGAAGTCGCAGAGCTTCACGCCAGACTTGCACAGCAGCACGTTCTGGCCCTTCACGTCGCAGTGAACGATCCCGCGCGCGTGCAAATCCCGAAGCCCCTCCGTGATTCCCCGCGTGAACCTCCGCACCAGAATTTCATCCAAGCCGTCGCCTTTGTTGAATTTCTTCAGCAGATCGGCAAGAGAGCCGCCCGAAGCGAGCTCCAGGAGAAGGTTTCTTGATTTGATGCCGTTTTCTTCGGACCAATCCGCGCCGTAGCACTCGATCACCCGCGGCGAGCTCACTTTCTGCAGAATCTGCCGCTCGTTCTCCAACGCCTGTAGCTCCCGGGACTGCTGACGGTCGCTGTCACCGCTAGCCGTCACCGACTTGACGGCCATCAGGTGGCCGGTTGTGCCGTCAATTGCGAGGCTGACGCTTCCGAAGGCTCCGCAGCCGAGAAGGGGACCGCGAAGCCATGATCCCGGGGATGACGGCGAGGAAGGGGGAGAGATGGAGGGAAGGGTGGATGGAGATAAGCAATCCTCCTCCTCTGAAATGTACACCTTGAAGGAATCCATGAATTTTCGCACTTCGAACCAGAATTCAAGCTTTACAAAGGTGAAGCGAAAGATAGGTACTATCTTGAAGGCTCCTCAATCGTCGCTGCTGGCCAGAGGCACAGAAAGGGTAAAGAGATCCTTGAAGAAAGAAAGACCCGTACGAGACATCAAATAGTAGAGACTTTCTCGAGAGTGAGCCGCGGGCTGAGCGAGGAGGGAACGGAGAAATTCAAGGTAGCCTTCCAACAAATCTTTGGGATTGGTCTTGATATTCACAAAACGAGACGCGCAAGCTGAGTTAAGGTGAGTAAATCCAGGACCCGGAGATTTTAGAACCTTCTGATAACCTGATCTGCTTCTAAAAATCAGTGATCTTGGATTGAACCGCGGCCTGTGAATATCTGCGGTGGATACGGAATCTACGACGTGGCTCAAGGAGGTTGGTTCGAATGTCGTCCTTATTCATCTGCCAGCTATATCAAGGGCACAGTGATAATAACAGCTGGTGTGCTGGACCTCCAACGGATAGAAAAATAGGATATTTGGATATAGACCCATTGATAACCGGACCAAGGAGCGCCGTTTCAGGACAAGGCCGCCGCAGTTGCTTGGTGCACACGATTTCGTACCTTTGTCGAGAGCAGGATCTTCTTTAAACTGGCCGAAGAAGCTCGCTTTCTCCTGGGGCCCACTGGGCTAGCACAATGACCAGTGGCCTAATCCGGAAGGAATCAAAACGTTGTGAGTGATGCGGCTTGCAATCTTAAGTGATGGGTCGCGGGATAAGGGCGGCCTAATTATGTTATTACATCAAAGGGTTCAATGATGTGGCTAGCAGTCGTAAGTGATGGTCGCGGGATACGGGCGGCTTCTAGGTGCTGTTACATCGAAGAGGACAGTCTCAGCAGGTCGGGACAGCGGTTGAGTGCTTGAAAGAGTGTCTCTTTGTACATGAGTTCTGATGACAGCTGACGTGGAGAACGGATGACGACAGCTTGCGGCAGCCTGGGAATCTAGCGAGCTGGAAAATGGAAAGCCTGACATAGTGGTCTATGGTACTTGGTTTCCAGCCTCTACTGCGCTGACGGAGGACCTTGAAAGCATCTGGCTCCGTTAGCCGTCCGGGATGCATTTTTGGCGAAAAGTACGCTGAAGGAAAAAGCTTAGGCGAACGCTGAAGGCAAAGCTTAGGCGAACGATGACCTGGAGATGCACGAAATGTGGATGCATATCGAGACTCTACCGCAGGACCTCATGTGTTGGAATAGAAAGGATGGGAAAGTTAACATCCAAGGTGCACGCCTACGCATATATGGCTGCATTGCTAAGTCGGTCTGGCCTGCATCTATAGGCCCCGTTGGCACTGCCATCCTAACGGGAAGATGCGCGACTTGGCATCTAGTTTCTTTGACGTGAGCAGAATCTGTGATTGATTTCAGATGCCCTCAGCCAAACCCGAAGGGTACAACTTACAATGTTGTAAATACGAGGCGCGGTCATTGCATGCACGAGATTTCAGCGCATGCAGCCAGTTCCAGCTGTGTGAAGTGATGCATTTCGATCAATCACTCCCTTCAAGAGTATACTCGTTTAACGCGATGAGTATTCTACAGCACGTTGTGGTATGTGTAGTGTAAGATAATACTAAATATGAAGTGACTAAAGGTTCCTGGAACCTGCAAGCATTCACCCTTTCCTTTCCCGCCAAGGCGGAGAAGCCGTTGGGGTTCGAATTGAAGCCCTTGCAAAAAAGATCGCGGATCGCGATACACCCTTGGAAACCGCCCTTCGGAAACACGTTTCTGATTGGTCGATATGTGTCATTTGGACCCCCTCTTCCAACCAGCTGTACTTCTTTCGCATCAAGCGCACAACCCAATGTAATATCGAGGCGCGGCAAATTTGAGGTGAGCTGAAATTTGTGATGGAGTGGAACCCCTTCG